ATTGGCAGCAAATAGGCGCATGCGGGCAGGATCAGCCCCGGTCACTCCTGCGATGGCATCCCTGTATCGCATGGGGTACCTTGTCGCCTCAATGCAGAGGCGAGCGGGTCCCCTGTGTACCAAGCAGTGGGCCTCTGTCAGGGCTGGCGTTGGAAGTGTGGCTTGATCGTCCCAAAAGTATCGAGACTGAAGTAGCTCTCCCAGGGTGTAATTGACGGGATGGGGTGACCCTATGTGGAGAAAGGTAATTAGGGCTCCAGGAAAGAGATGAACCGGATCGTCTCCTATGGGAACCTGATCAACCCCAAAAAGAACCTCGTACTCAATTCCACGAAGGAGCCCTGCAAGTCCGACAAGCTCCTGTTTAGAGCAGTACGTCGGCGCCTGCATCAGGAAGAGGCGGCCATCGATAGATGTTGTGTCCAGACAAACAAGGTCGGGACCATGGGCCCATGGAGGAAAGGCCGCAAGAACTGCAACCCCGCATGCTGGCTGTGGCAGGATGGATAAGAGGTTGGGAAACAGGGCAGCCGAATTCTGTCGGCGTACAACCTGGACAGCCTCAATCGCCTCATCCTGAATCCTGAGTAGCGGGAACCGGGATGGCAACGAGTAGGTGCTCCGAGACATACTCGAAGCGTAGTTAGTATTACACAAGGCACTGCAGTAAGCTCTTCCTCTGGTTCGGAATCAGACGAAGGCAGATCCTCAGCGATCCCAAAACCAATTCCTAGGCGCCGGAAGGGGGAATCGGTGATCCAATGTCCACCAAGGCTTCTGGTGGCCCATCTCAGCCTGTTGAGGTTCCTGCGCTCGGCTTGGTTACGACATGCAGGTTCCGTAAGGAGCTTGGCTTCGCAAGCTGGTGTTTGTCGTCGGCAGGCAAGCCACAGAATGGCGCCACAGATGACACCAACCCCAAATAGGAGTGCAAAGAAATGCAAATTTGCCACACTCCAGCAGCAAGGGCCTGGATCAACAAGGCCATGGTGGCAGATGGCAATGGAAGGGTCCCTGCTACAAACAGTGGAGCCGCTGGCGGTACTGGGCTGTGTCAGACCAAGCACAACCCCACCCGCAGGCACTCGTAGTGCGAGACATTTTCGTGCGTGATGTCGGCATAGACAGGACCTCCCAGTGCACGAAAGTCATAGACTATGACCTGTTTGTTGACCTGTGGGATCCACTTCGGGGCAACAATGACCGAAGCAAAATCTGGGCCAAGTTGCGGTACTGTCGGTGCAGTCACAGTACAGTAAGGAAGGCGCAGTTTGTGCAGTCGGTCTCTGACAGCATTATAGAAGGTTGCTAGGTCAAAAGGAGGGCGCAGTGTCAAGCGAAGAACCTCAGCTTGATACCTAGGTGTAAGAACCGAACAAATGCCCTCGAACGAGGGTCTTTCGGGATCTCCAACCTCTGGGGGTGAGTGGAGGGGAGGAATCGGTATGGCATCGGCATTCTCAAGTGGGCGCTCAAGGTCATGCCGTTGTGCGGTCTGTAACAACTGGATCCTGGCATCAAGTTCTTCAAGGTCGGCTTGGCCAGTGGCGTCTGGCATTACACCATTAAGTCTATCGGGCTGCAGCCCGGCCAAATGCTCCGCACCTTGTACAACATCATGCCAGTGCTTGGGCGCAGCCCGAATTTGCCTCGGCAAACTCCCAAGGACGAGCAAACCGATCCAGCTCCAGACTCTGTGGGGGCTGCGGGCAGGAAAGGTCCTGCGGCCATGACGCAGTGCAGCACGGTTGCTGCGCACGCCTCCACTTTCCCAACATGGGCGAGCATCCTGTGAAATGGACAGCATAGCGACGGAGAGCAGCAAGCCCTGTGGGAGGCCCCTGGATGGCAGCAGGAGGAGTTGCCCTAGCGGGGTTTGGTGAGGGCGGAAAGGCCAGATTAGCAAGCGCAAAAGTGCACACAACACAATCAGGGCGAGGTGCGTGTAGAAGCCACCTAGTAAATGCACTGTCCAATGACAAGCCAACTCCCAGTAGCTTAGAACCCTATCGTCAGAGACACCAGGCAGGTAGGGGACTAAACCGAAGGGGAGCTGGTGCTGGTGCTTGTCAGTGAGGCGGTCCTGTGTCTCGTGTTGCACGACGCAAAGAGATGACTGCCACTGAGGGTCCTCGCCACAGCTTACACAAGGAGTGTGAAAATCCAGGTAGCTGCCACACGTAGGATGAATAGCGACAACAAGAGCGCCATCCCGAAACAGGAGAAAGGACAAGCCAGGTGCCATGGGAGCACCGCAGCACAAAACCAAATCCTCAGGCCTGTGGCAGGGTGAATGAATGCACAGCTGGGAGGCGCAGGTGAACGTCCCAGAGCCACCGATACGTTTCTTCGGCACGCTGCTTGTCTCCCAACTAAACAGTGGATTGTGACTCCCAAATGCAAGGGAGTCAGGCGGGGGAGAACAGCCCTTCACCAAATTCCAATGTGATGGGTGCCCTCGCGAGGAAGAGGACTGGGGAGGAAGAGAGGCCGCGGCAAGAGGAAGGGGAGCCAGTCTTCAGGCTGTGTCAAATGGGCCTCAGCATAAGGGCCACCTTTGCAAAACTTTGTACACGGCAAAGTACATGTGTGAGACCATATGGCTCCCAGATTTATCCCCGCCACCGCGCCAAGGGCAAGGTGAACACCAAGCTGGAACTCGTGCACCAAGCCGATCGCTCAGTGGCAGCGATGCTCTAGAGCCATATCTAACAGCCGGTGTCACTCCAGTCGTGTGAGGCCTGGGGAACTCATCATGTGCCGGGCAGGATCGCCTTCGTTGGCCTGGTCGAATTCCACTTGTATCGTGTCCTGGTCCCTCTGGTGCCCTGTTCTCGGTCGGGAGCCTGAAAGGGTGCAAAGCCGGTCCGCTCATTTCTGCCTCTCTTCGTTGCTCGAGCTTCTCTTGAAGGGTTAGGCCTGAGAGATTGGGCTTCGCTGGCGGATGCTTCGTAGCAGCTTTGACATCCTCCCTCGTCACGGTCCGAGAAGGCCGCTGGTCCACAGCGGATGGTGAGGGCTCGTGTGGCTCTGCTCCCAGATTGGCTTCCACAGTCTTTGTCGGAACGGGCGACGTGGCAGGGTACGGTGTTGCCCTGTGAAGCCCGCTCGATGGAGACGCTGCACCATAGGTAGGCACGGGCTGCATCGGCCCGTTCGCTCCAAAGCCGGCTGGCTATTTCTGTTCCTCGCCACTGCCCTCCGGCGCCAGACCCGGAGGTACCACATGTCCCATCGTCGGAGGTGCACCATTGGGTGGCGGTACAGGTGGAGGCGTCGAGGCCGGCACCAGTTTGCCGCTTCGATAGAGCCGAAGGATCTCGGCCATGTCCGAGTCCAGAGCCGGGGACTCCGCTGCATCGGAAGTTTCCGAATACTTCTGGATCATCGCGTCCCAATCCTCTGCAGAAGTATCCTGTACATCCATGCGAGTTCGTCCCATCAGCCCCTGTGCTGTCTGAGCCATGTTCTCTCGCGCCACTTGGAGTAGCTTGCGTGCTTCCTCGAGTTCTGCCACCAGTTGAGACTGGCGCTCGTGGTGCTTCTTGCGCTCCTCCATAAAGGCCGTCATGAGCTCCTTTTCGCAGTCCGCGAAGCGTTCGGCTTTCTCTTTCTGTTCTTTCTGGATGCGCGAAACTCTGGCTTCTGCTTTCCTGAGCACGTTCACTGCTTGTTGCGCGCCCTTGGCCGTAATCACATCCGGGCCCGCTGGTGCAGCCACTCTTTCCTCCCGTACAACACGGAGGTGTTGTTCTGCTCCCCAGTGTTGGTCGTACGACGGGAAGCGGGCTTTGGCCTTCGGTTCCTGAGGTGACCCAGCAGAGCGCAAAGCCCCAGGCCACAGCGAGTATCCCTGACCTTGCTGTCCACGTTGACTGTATCCTTGATCTCTGTCGCGGCGATGCCATGGTGCGTCGGCCCTGGACTTCTTGCCCATGTGAACCCTGACAGTCTTCTGTAGGGACGGGCAAGTGCCGTGGTGCCTCAAAAGGGCACCGTAATGCAGTCGGGAGACTGCTTTCCCTTCTCGGATGGCCGCGCGAGTCCTCGACCGGGCCTTTCTCAATTTCCGATGCCAAGATGGCGAAGGCGTCGGAAAAACGGGATCACGCACCCTCAGGTGGGGTGCTGGGGCCTTCAATGTTCTCCCTTAGGAGCGATTTGGGCCCTTATATCTCTATATATGTATATATATATATATATATATATATATATATATATATATATATATATGTATATATACATATATACCCTAAGTGTATGCAGTATACATACATAGAAATACAATATAAATACAATATAAATACAATATATATATATATATATATATATATATATATATGAGGCAGGAACCTTTATGTATAATGTGTCGCTCGCTCTTTGTGTAAATACTAAACATCGTCTACACACTGCAACAGTATGATTAGTGTTCCTCATCGACGGTTGCCTGATGGGACAGCACCACTGAAGGTGGATGAGCATGGCATGTGCACAAGTTCGGAGGCACCGCAAGCATCGAGTTCGAGCCAGCATGTGATGGCTGAGGAGACTGAGGCGCCTCTGTTGACTGTTCCCACGCCACTGACTGCTCATGGTCTCCACACGACCGGAAAAGCAGGTCCCACTCGGCAAGCTTAGCCCCCCTCCGTTGCAATGATGACCCTGGGAATTCTCTAACAAAATAGCAATTAGTTTACATCGAATGCATCACATTGGAACACAACCCATATGGCCCTTTGCAATCCGTTCTTGGTGGCTGGACTTGCTTGTAGCTTTTCGCAATCATTTCGCCCTTACGCCGTTTGCTGCCTCATGTCGGAACCTTTATGTTTACGTACATATGCATGAACTAACTTTCGGGTGTCCCAGACACCTCTCTGAGAGGTAACCAAGGCATGTAGTCGCACAGAGGTACAGGCCTGCAGGCTGCAAGCACAAGCACTCACGCACACTGAGTTTTTCTTCCCAGAGGCGTTCTCCAACTCGAAGTTGCATATGTGTTATATACACTTGCGAACGCCCTGAGTGCGCAGCCCGGACCGCCTCTTGAGTTTGAACACAGTTCTCTTGACGCGAGATTTCTTCTTGGCAGCCGGCCGCTTCATGTTCCACTCACGAGACTTGGATTCTTCGATCTTACGCGACTCGTTGTAGGACAAGCTCGCCTTTGCCGCGTGAACCTCCTGGCTCAGGTCGCTGCACCACAACTGCCACAAGGCATCAGTCCAAAGGGAGTTTGCCAGTGCCCGTGCCAGAAGGTTTCTGCTGGAACACTGGCTGATGGTTGGATTTGACATAGCCAGGAAGTGTGGAATCTGCTTGCCGATGGTTAAGATGATGAGCTTCAGGCGCAGGGTGCTTTGGTGTATCTGCTGTGTTTCCGAAAACCAATTCTTCACCTCGGCGTGAAGGGCTTCGTTTGAGGACATTCCTGATGGTAGAAGAGCCAGCGCTCTGCGGCCTCATATAATATAAGCTACTAGATAACAAAAAAATCATGCAAAGGTGGGCGCGCTGAGTTTCGATATGTTCGGCTTGCATAGATCTCTAAGGCTCTAAGGCGCGAGCCAATGCTGTGACGCCAACGGATATTGTTGAAAAGCCACGCAGTTCGATCCGGGTCTGCGGCGCACCAAAGGATATGTGCCACACGCTTGTTGGCACCGGTTACCTTTCTGTTCATGTCTTCGGGGAATGTCGCAGACAGTGCAGCCACGGCTTCGATGAATTCAAACCTCGAAAGGAACGGCTTGGAGGTGTCCAATTTGTCTACGATGTCCCGGGCTTTAACCTTGGACATGGCGCTAGTCTCGATGTAATCTCGACACACGCTCTCGACGTGGCTCAATGCACCACTTCCGCCACTGCTGTAGCCCCGGTAAAAATTGCCCCAGCGCTGTGCTGCCAGACTGGAATCCACGGCATTAAATTTGCTCATGATCTTACGCAGACAGACTGCTCCCGCGGTCTTCTTTCGCCAAGTCGCGTACCTGTTTCAAGCTTTTCTTATTCAGACGTCTTCAAGAAGCAAAACTATGTCACACGTGCTTGCTTCCAGCTGTACAGATGCTTATAATGACCGACTTTCGCCTTCATGTGTCCCAAATAACTCTTTATCAAAGAAGCCGAGGTTCTCATAGACAATCGGTAAGTGAACTGGGTCCAGCGTCATGCATTGAAGATTCGGCAATATGCGGCGAACATTTGTGTACAGCTTAACTGAGGCGCAGTCTGAGGCGACGCACTGGACCTGTTGCAATCCTCGTGCCGGCAACGCTTCAACAAGGGCGGCGCAGACATCCTCGGCTTTCTCTGAGCCCACTGCAAGCATGGCGATGACTTCGCCCGTACGCCCTCGCACCGTGAGAACAAAACGAAGACTGCGAGCAGCAAACGAGAGCTAACCAAAGCTGCTTTCTCTAAAAAAGAAATATATTACGAAGCTACTCGACGCGTCCTCGGTGAGAGCCTTTTGGATCGGAATGACAGCTTGCTTTTCAGGTCTTGAAGGCCTAGACTTCAATATAGAATCTTACTAATTCTAGTTATAATGCCTTGGTGAACATATTTCTGCATATACTACCTGGGCCACTAGGGTGTTAGGACTCATACGGAACGGCCTGTTGACGATACTTAACATGATTATCTTACTTCTATGGCTTGCGGGCAATTTGTATGTAGGAGTACTAGGGAACGAGCTGTAAACAACACTTAACATGGCTATCTTGTTTCCTATGGCTTGTGGTCAAGTTTTCTTTAGTGGCACCAGGGAACGGGCTGTAGGCAATACTTAGCATGATTATCTTACTTCTTATGGCTTGCGGGCAAGTTGTATCTAGGAGCAGTAGGGGACGGGCGGTAAACAGTATCAAGCATGATTGTCTTGCTTCCTATCCTAAAATGGAACCAGGACCTCAGCAGGCTGCCAACGGTGTGCACAAGCACGCAGGAGCGAACTTTCGCAAAGTGTTGCTAATGAAGGGTCCTCAATACAGCGAGCCTTTGCCGTGTAAGTGTATCTACAACCGACATCATAGGAACCCTCTTGAATTTATTTTCAAAGTGTTGAGGCCCCTATATTAGGCTTAAGGTGTAGGCTCTGTGCGAACCTCTTTCCTTGCTTTTCTAGGCAGGCGTCGCAAGCAGCATGGCCAATCAACATGGACACTAAGCCCACAAGATACTAACACCAAACGCTTTCTCGGGCTTTCTAGCTAGACCCTACGCCGAAAACCCAAACCTCTCAACCACTGCCAAAAGGACGCGCGGTCGCACTGAACGTTGATTTCACCAACATTCGTAACATTCCTCTAAGAATACGGGGTGCACTCCCAAATCCAGACCGAAAACTGCGAGCGTCGTCTTACGCTCGTCGCAGAACCGCATCAAAATGCACGTGGCGGATCCAGGGACAAACTCGCTGACAACGAAGACTCGTGAATAGCCTGCTGTGGCTAAGACAAACTTTCAAGCTGATTTCTTTCTTGATTCCTAAACTCTACCCAAACATCAACCCAAAAACGAACCCGTAAATGCAAACCAAATTCGCTTTCTCTAGAAAGAAGCTATTACGAAGCTACTCGCAGCATCTTCGGCGAGATCCTTTTGGATCGGAATGACAGCTTGGTCAGGTCTTGAAGGCCTAGACTTCAATATTGAATGTTACTAAATCTAATAATAATGCTGTGGGATTCACAGGGAACGGGCTGTAGACAATACTTATCATGATTTTCTTACTTCTAAGGCTTGCAGGAAAGTTGTTGGTAGACAATACTTAATGTGGCTTTCGTTATTTCCTATGGTTTGTGGGCAAATTTTCTTTAGGGGTACAAGGGAACGGGCTGCAGGCAATACTTATCATGACTATCTTACTTCTATGGCTTGCAGGAAAGTTTTTTTGGTAGACAATACTTAAGGTGGCTTTTGTTACTTCCTATGGCTTGTGTGCAAATTTCTTTAGGGGCACTAGGGAAGGGGCTGTAGGCAATACTTAGCATGATTATCTTACTTCTTATGGCTTGTGGCAAGTTTTCTTTAGGGGTACTAACGGGCTGTAGGCAATACTCAGCATGATTATCAATTTCCTATGTCTTGTCGGCAAATCTTCTTTAGGGGAACCAGGGAACGGGCTGCAGGCAATACTTAGCATGATCATCTTACTTCTTATGGCTTGTAGGCAAGTTGTATTTAGGAGCAGTAGGGGACGGGCGGTAAGAAATGCTTAGCATGATTATCTCGTTTCCTACTTCAAATATGAACCAGGGCAATCTCATCAAGCTGTCAAAAAGTGTGCACTCACGACCATGCCCACGAAACCTCGCATCCACAGAGGCCATCGTTCTGGATGCTCCATGCGATTGCATGCGACGACATTCGCACACGGGCCCATGTGTTCGTGCTGAAGAAGCCTTTGATATCTCCTCAAGTGGCCACGAAACACCCGTAAAGCTTTATTCTTTCTAAAACGTAAAATCATTCGTTCGAAGTCTCCTATCTTGCTGTCCAGCGGCCGTAGGTTTCAATATCACGCTTGATCTCTTCCCAGGTCATCGTGGGATTGGACAAATACAGCCGAGTGTACTGAGTATATGTCTCGGAGCCCGTACGGGCCTGCCATGAGCTACCTATAGTCTCCATTGTAGTTCTTTTTTTGGGTTTAATCAATATTATGATTAGGATTCTATAAGGTAACCGGAAAAAGGAACTACAATGGAGACTATACGTACCAACTTAGGTGTCTCGAACAAAGAACTTTGGGAAGCGAAGCCTCCTCGTGAGTACGTTTGCGCTTCCAACTGTCGTGGCTCCAGCGCCGGCTCCAATTCCCGTAGAGCTTCTCTTCGGCGTCCTACGCAAACAAACAGCACGGTTCAGGGCCGATGAACTATGCAGCGTTCGATATGGACAGCTTAAGAATCGAATCCAAGAACGCCATCCGTTAGGAGGCCTACAGGAAACCAGGTCACCCATCAACGGGAAACCCAGGACCTTAAAGATTGAAGTGAAGGTAGAAACCACGGCCAGGCGCGCCTTGGCATCCGGCTGCACGGATCCGGGGAACCACCGCGGCTTGGGGATCCAGCATGCTTTGCTTATGTCGGTTTCCAACTGGCTGCCTTCGTGCCGGTGTCATGCATGTCCGGAATTTAACGGTCGAAACGCAAACAGCCCATTGGCAGCCCTACTTGGAGGGTCGGAGGACTTAGTAAGTAGGTAGTAAGCAGACTTATAAGTATCCTAAAAGGGACCCTAATTGGGGTTATGGTACATATAACTCTATAACATAACTGCGTACTACGTCCCCCGACCCTCCAAACAACCCTACGGTTCGATTCCAGTCACCCACACGGGAAGGGCCTAAGGTCCAAATGCTTCAGATTTCGCAGAATGCAATAACGATGGGGTTCAGAGAGGATGCCAAGATCGAAGCTTAGAAGTCTCAGCGACAAGACCGCGAGATAACAAAACCAAGCTGCCAGCACTCAGGAGCGCCGCGCCGTCGGTGCGCACGGCTACCACAAGCATCTTCTGGATAGAAGAAGATGTGGACGACTGATAGTCTACCTTCATGGCCGTGGGCGACACATACATAGGTAGGTACTATTGGAGGCATCAAGCCACATGGGAGTTGTTTTTGTTCTTGAATCCGAAACCCCTATATATTTAGTTTCTCTTCCTCGACGGAACCTGCTTTAGGTTTTCAGACGGTGTATGAAATGCGTCCACACTGGCAAGACTTAGGTCCCCGTGAAATTGGACCGTATTGAATCAAATCACGTGGCGTCCCAAAAAGGCAGCAACTTCGGAGACGTCTGCCGAGCAAGCATCCATGGCCGCAGGCAACGAAAGACTTGGCAGGAAAGAGTCGTGTGGCCCAGTCGAACTAAGCGGCAGAGATCACAAGTCCGCAGAGCGTCAGAAGCACCACCAGCATCACAGCATCAGTCACTACTACTGGTACTAGTACTAGTACTAGTACTAGTACTAGTACTAGTACTAGTACTAGTACTAGTACTAGTACTAGTACTAGTACTAGTACCACTACCACTACCACTACTACTACTACTACTACTACTACTACTACTACTACTACTACTACTACTACTACTACTACTACTACTACCACTACTACTACTACTACTACTACTACTACTACTACTACTACTACTACTACTACTACTACTACTGACTACTACTACTACTACTACTACTACTACTACTACTACTACTACTACTACTACTACTACTACTACTACTACTACTACTAACTACTACGACTACTACTACTTAATACTACGACGACTACTACTACTACTACTACTACTACTACTACTACTGCTACTACTACTACTACTACTACTACTACTACTACTACTACTACTACTACTTCGACTACTACTACTTACTACTACGACGACGACTACTGCTACTACTACTCCTCCTCCTCCTCCTCCTCCTCCTCCTCCTCCTCCTCCTCCTCCTCCTCCTCCTCCTCCTGCTGCTGCTGCTGCTGCTGCTGCTGCTGCTTCTACGAAACCCGCGCAGAGGGGGACCAAACCGGCAAAGGGGCGAAACCCGCGCAGAGAGCAGAGCAGAGGGGGCGAAATTGAGAGCGAAACCCGCTCAGAAGCGAAGCCCGCAAAGGGGCGAAACCCACGAAGGTGCGAAACCCGCTCAAGTGCGAAACCCGCTCAGGGGCGAAACGGAGGCGAAACCCGCACAGGGGCGAAACCCGCTCAGGGGCGAAACCCGCTCAGGAACGAAACCCGCTCAGGGGCGAAACAGAAAACCCGCAAAGGGGCGAAACCCGCTCGGGGGGGAAACCCGCACAGGGGTGAAACCCGCAAAGGGGCGAAACCCGCTCAGGGGCGAAACCCGCGAAGGGGCGAAACCCGCTCAGGGGCGAAACCCGCTCAGGGGCGAAACCCGCAAAGGGGCGTAACCCGCTCAGGGCGAAACCCGCTCAGGGGCGAAACCCGCTCAGGGGCGAAACAGAGGCGAAACCCGCAAAGGGGCAAAACCCGCTCCGGGGCGAAACCCGCTCAGGGGCGAAACCCGCTCAGGGGCGAAACCCCCTCAGGGGCGAAACCCGCACAGGGGCGAAACCCGCCCAGTGGCGAAACCCGCACAGGGGCGAAACCCGCTCAGGGGCGAAACCCGCTCAGGGCGAAACCCGCACAGGGGCGAAACCCGCTTAGGGGCGAAACCCGCTTAGGGGCGAAACCCGCTCAGGGGCGAAACAGAGGCGAAACCCGCAAAGGGCCAAAACCCGCTCCGGGGCGAAACCCGCACAGGCGAGACCCGCTCAGGGGCGAAACCCGCTCAGGGGCGTAACCCGCACAGGGGCGAAACCCGCTCAGGGGCGAAACCCGCACAGGGGCGAAACCCGCTCAGGGGCGAAACCCGCTCAGGGCGAAACCCGCACAGGGGCGAAACCCGCTTAGGGGCGAAACCCACTTAGGGGCGAAATCCGCTCAGGGGCGAAACCCGCTCAGGTGCGCTCTGGTCTAAACCCCTCCCGGTTTAGATAGTTTAGATAGTTTGGGTAGTTTGGGCCCTTCCCCGTGCCACCCAGAACTATCTAAACTATCTAAACCCCTCTCTCTCCAGACCGACGGGAGACCCCCAAACTATCTAAACTATCTAAACCCCTCTCTCTCCAGACCAACGGGAAACCCCCAAACTATCTAAACTATCTAAACTATCCAAACTATCTAAACTATCTAAACCGGGAGGAGGGGTTTAGATAGTTTAGATAGTTTAAGTGGCACGGGGGAAGGCCCAAACTATCTAAACTATCTAAACCCCTGTCTCTCCAGACCAACGGAAGATAGTTAACTATCTAAACTATCTAAACTATCCAAACTATCCAAACTATCTAAACTATCTAAACCGGGAGGGTTTTTGATAGTTTAGATAGTTTGGGTGGCACGGGGGAAGGCCCAAACTATCTAAACTATCTCTCTCCAGACCAACGGGAGACCCCCAAACTATCTAAACTATCTAAACTATCCAAACTATCTAAACTATCTAAACCGGGAGGAGGGGTTTAGAGAGTTTAGATAGTTTGGGTGGCACGGGGGAAGGCCCAAACTATCTAAACTATCTAAACCCCTCTCTCTCCAGACCAACGGGAGACCCCCAAACTATCTAAACTATCTAAACTATCCAAACTATCTAAACTATCTAAACCGGGAGGAGGGGTTTAGAGAGTTTTGATAGTTTGGGTGGCACGGGGGAAGGCCCAAACTATCTAAACTATCTAAACCGGGAGGGGTTTAGATAGTTTAGATAGTTTGGATAGTTTAGACAGTTTAGATAGTTTGGGGGCTCCCGCTGCTCTGGTCTAAACCCCTCCCGGTTTAGATAGTTTAGATAGTTTAGATAGTTTGGGTGGCACGGGGGAAGGCCCAAACTATCTAAACTATCTGAACCCCTCTCTCTCCAGACCAACGGGAGACCCCCCAAACTATCTAAACTATCTAAACTATCCAAACTATCTAAACTATCTAAACCGGGAGGGTTTTAGATTGTTTAGATAGTTTGGGTGGCACGGGGGAAGGCCCAAACTATCTAAACTATCTAAACCCCTCTCTCTCCAGACCAACGGGAGACCCCCAAACTATCTAAACTATCTAAACTATCTAAACCGGGAGGGGTTTAGATGGTTTAGATAGTTTGGGTGGCACGGGGGAAGGCCCAAACTATCTAAACTATCTAAACCCCTCTCTCTCCAGACCAGCAGGAGACCCCCAAACTATCTAAACTATCTAAACTATCCAAACTATCTAAACTATCTAAACCGGGAGGGGTTTAGATAGTTTAGATAGTTTGGATAGTTTAGATATTTTGGATAGTTTGGGGGCTCCCGCTGCTCTGGTCTAAACCCCTCCCGGTTTAGATAGTTTAAATAATTTAGATAGTTTGGGTGGCACGGGGGAAGGCCCAAACTATCTAAACTATCTAAACCCCTCTCTCTCCAGACCAACGGGAGACCCCCAAACTATCTAAACTATCTAAACTATCCAAACTATCTAAACTATCTAAACCGGGAGGAGGGGTTTAGATAGTTTAGATAGTTTGGGTGGCACGGGGGAAGGCCCAAACTATCTAAACTATCTAAACCGGGAGGGGTTTAGATAGTTTAGATAGTTTGGATAGTTTAGATAGTTTAGATAGCTTAGATAGTTTAAATAGTTTAGATAGTTTAGATAGTTTGGGGGCTCCCGCTGCTCTGGTCTAAACCCCTCCCGGTTTACATAGTTTAGATAGTTTAGATAGTTTGGGTGGCACGGGGGAAGGCCCAAACTATCTAAACTATCTAAACCCCTCTCTCTCCAGACCAACGGGAGACCCCCAAACTAATCAAACTATCTAAACTATCCAAACTATCTAAACTATCTAAACCGGGAGGGGTTTAGATAGTTTAGATAGTTTGGGTGGCAAGGGGGAAGGCCCAAACTATCTAAACCATCTAAACCGGGAGGGGTTTAGATAGTTTAGATAGTTTAAATAGTTTAGATAGTTTAAATAGTTTGGGGGCTCCCGCTGCTCTGGTCTAAACCCCTCCCGGTTTAGATAGTTTAGATAGTTTAGATAGTTTGGGTGGGACGGGGGAAGGCCCAAACTATCTAAACTATCTAAACCCCTCTCTCTCCAGACCAACGGGAGACCCCCAAACTATCTAAACTATCTAAACTATCCAAACTATCTAAACTATCTAAACCGGGAGGGGTTTAGATAGTTTAGATAATTTGGGTGGCACGGGGGAAGGCCCAAACTATCTGAACTATCTAAACCGGGAGGAGGGGTTTAGATAGTTTAGATAGTTTGGATAGTTTCGATAGTTTAAATAGTTTGGGGGCTCCCGCTGCTCTGGTCTAAACCCCTCCCGGTTTAGATAGTTTAGATAGTTTAGATAGTTTAGATAGTTTAGATAGTTTGGGTGGCACGGGGGAAGGCCCAAACTATCTAAACTATCTAAACCCCACTCTCTCCAGACCAACGGGAGACCCCCAAACTATCTAAACTATCTAAACCGGGAGGAGGGGTTTAGAGAGTTTAGATAGTTTGGGTGGCACGGGGGAAGGCCCAAACTATCTAAACTATCTAAACCCCTCTCTCTCCAGACCAACGGGAGACCCCCAAACTATCTAAACTATCCTAACTATCTAAACTATCTAAACGGAACGCCTGCAGGTTGCTGGGGGATAGGTTTTTTAGGTTTTTTTGGGACAGTACAGCACTTTTGGCTTGGGAAAGCCAAATTTTAGGGACAGTACAGCACTTTGGGGCACTGGAGCTTCAAAAGTGCTGTACTGTCCCTAAATTTGGCCTCTGCCAAACCCAACTTTTAGGGACAGTACAGCACTTTAGGGCACCTGAGCTTCAAAAGTGCCGTGCTGTCCCTAAAATTTGGCTTTCCCAAGCCCAAATGAAAAGGACTGCACAGCACTTTTCAACACTAATGCTTGTAAAATCAGATTGATAGTGACAGCATACTATTGTGCGTAGTGGTATATCAACAATCTTTTCCAAAAGTACAAGTTATGTCATGCCTTTGGTTCCTTGGCGGTATTTTGGTGTTGGCACTCTGCCTCCCACTAAGCCATTGATTTCGGAACCAGATCCTGGTGTGCAAAATGTTCGATGCCAAGAGTTTGTAGACATGCTATGAGCAAAGTAGCTGTTCTACAGAGAAGCCGTTCCCGCTGCTATTTACAGCACGTTCTGCACATGGAGAAGGTAGGTTCGAAACGCTTGGTTATGCTTGAGAGAGAGGAACAGAGAGGGTGTGGATCTTGGGGGGGGGGGGGGGGACCATATATATATATATATATATATATATATATATATGTATATATATATATGTATATATAGATATAGATATAGATATTTGCTTTGCAAGTCCTGCCCCAACTCTCACGAAGTCTCGGCACTCCGTTTGGGATTCCCACGAGATCGCGATGGTCTAATCTGCACGAGGCCGCCTTTGGGCCAGAGGACATCGCAGAGCTCTTCGAGCCGAGGTCTCTTGCAAGGCCAGCCTTCTTACAGAAGGGCTCAGGTTTCGAGCTTTTGGTCTTGGGGGCTGTAGGGTTGTAGGTTTTGTATATTTATCCCCCTGTCTTTTCCAGGGTTTCGGGTTTATGTTGCCCCTTGCGACACCCATGGGCCTGGTGCCTCACTAAGTTTCACGTGGAGGTTGAAAGGTCCACAGGGACGAAGAGACCATCCTTTGCTGTTCCGCCAGCATCATCAGGTTTAGGGCTTAGGGTGAATAATTACCGACATTATCCCTTAGGGGTGCTTGCGAGAAGCATACTGTCATCACCGGACAACTACTTTGTCAGGTGCAAGAATGGCGCCAAGCATCGTGGGCGAGCTGCACGTCCAGACCTTCAGATTTCCACAGCTTGCCTCGGCTCCCAAGGATTCATGCACCAGCTCCCTGCTGCTGAGTGTCCGCTTGCGAGTCATATATGTATAGATATATACATATATATATACACACACAACACACATATACAAATATATATATATATATACATATTCATACTCTAAGAAATATAGAACAAAGAGTTTTGAATGTAGAACATACGACGCCGGTAGCCAAGAGGCGGAGCTGGCGATTCATTGCATGGTGCTCGCCTCCGTCATCAGGTGACTAGCTCTGAATAATAGGGTTTAGGGTTTCGGGTTTCGGGTTGCATTTGACTTAATGATTAGAGTAGGTACTCTTCGCTATTTTCAAAAAGGAATGGCAATAATTCTGAAGTGCCTCGAGACTTGAGAAGCTGCAGCCTTGAGGCCGTGAAGAAACACGCTCCTACCAGTAGTACCGGATTCTGTTTCTTAGAAAGCAAGACCCGACACGCGTTTTAGTGGACACGACGGCGGCTCGTGCATTGAAGCAGCGGAAAGCGGTGGCCAGACCGACAGATCCTTTTGCTGTTGGACCTGCACTTCCTGTCTCGAGTCCCATCGCAGCCCGGGCTGCTACTCGTAAAAGCTCTCACTTGATAGTTGGTTACACGGTCGCACGTCAGCATGTCCTCTGATCTGCTTGTCGTCCTGCGAAGCTGATGACTACGTAAATGACGAGCGGCAATAGTGGCCAACACCGACGAAGAAGGCCTCGCTGGCAATCAGGAGACAGAATGTCATTGCCCAGCCTACACAATCATGGCTACGAAAAGACCATCTCTCCGAGTCTCCTTCTCCGGCCGAAAGCGCCGCACCAAGTCGAGGCTCTCCTCACATGTCTGAGCCTAAGCCCCCACCCTACACCCTCATGCCCTAAAATTAAGGCCTAGGCCAGCAGTAAGCTGGTCTCAGGTAGCCTTAAGATGCCTTAAGCCTGAGGTCCCTAGGCCCCTGAAAGTTTTAAAGAGATCGTCTCCTCCAGGTTCGCATGCACCGTGCTTTTGGTGGCATCTGGGAAGAGGACGTCGAGAATCAAGATGGAGATCTTGTCCTAAAGCGGGATGTTTCAAGCTTGCGTGGAGAAGCTCCTCAGGCCTTCCTGCCGTAACATAAGGGCCTCAATGATAGGGTTTGGGGGGGCCATTACATTACAACTACAGTTCGAATGAGGAACACCCGGATTACTATAGGTAATCGTTTAGGCCCTTTAGTATATCGGGTGCGAAATGGTACCTCCAAACCTCACTGGGCCTTTAAGAGGAGTGAGCTCGGGCGCAGGCCGGCTTGCTGCTCCAGCGTTCCAGCAGGGCTTCCGTCTTTGGCAAGAGGGCCGTGTAGTCAGATATGTAGACCACTCCTCGTTCTGCTGAGGTCAAGCAAGACCTCTTTACACATTAGGCTGACCCTGTTTTTGGCATCTTGGCAGGAATCATGGCAGCCGCCCGTCGTTTCAACTCAAGGCCTGCTATGACACTATGTATTGTGCGATCAAAGTGTCGAGCTCCGTGTTACAAGTTGCGCAGTATGACGATACTTCCTTTGAGTAAACCACTGACATGTTCATGCAAAAGAGTTGCTCGGATTTACCCAGGTGCTGGAACCGTGGGAACCAAAACCGTAGCCAAAGCAGGTGTAGTCCGCACCATGCAGGACCGGCAGCGCGTGAAATGGAAAGCCATCCACGTAGAACGGGGAGGTATCCTCTGGAATCTCCTGCGCATGCAGTTGGTGACATGCTGCCGATGCGGCGACATAGAAGCAAACGACTCGCTGCATTCCCGAGGTGACTACAAAGGGGCAGCATCTATCCCATCGCTCGCAAATCCCTGGTACGTCCAGTCCTTCCATTCCATGCTGGCGACAAACCGCGTTACCTTTTCGGGGGAGTTGGGGCTAATGCTCTGGTCCGGCATGTCCGGCTTGCAGTCGCCATCGCAGTCGCTGTTGCACTGGCAAAAAGCCTGCATAAGTCGCACCTTCCCCGTACTGGGAAACAGGTACGGAAACGCACGTCCTCGGCTTGCATTGCACGGTCAGAGCGCGCGCTTGCAAAACTCAGCGTTGGGGGAGGGGTGGTGGTTGTGGTGGTGGTTCTGCCAGCTGCCAAGCAGCGGCAGTGCTGCAGCGTGCGGCGGTCACAGAAGCAGCGCATGGGTGGGCCCAGCACTCGACGCGTCCCGGGGTCAAAGGGCTGGAGCTGTCGCAGGTCATCCAGGCCTGAGACCACGAGATTGTAAGGCACGCTACTGGCAGCATTAGGTGGGCCTTGTTCACCCTGCAGTCTTACCAACAATGCAGCAAGCAGCTTCATGATGACAGAATGACTAATTTTCGACCAAGCACCGAGAATTGCGTCAGCATGGTCATGTGTCAAAAACACTGCATCCAACGACAAGACCTTGTGCTCTTTGTACACCGTCAACACGGAATCACGGTAGGTCTTACCACAGTCGATCTGCACGTGCTTCACTTTACCATCTGACTGCACCCATCTGACAATCAGCCCAACATTGTTCCTCCAGTTTGGGTTTCCCCGACCGTAACGCAGGGCCACTGCACAGGACTGGCAGCCTGGAACTCCACCCTCCCCTCCAATGGCACACCGGAGCATTGGCTGAGCACAAGAGGAGCCCGTCCCGCTGAAGATGATGCCAGGCCCGCTCGCAGGTCTTCTGCAGCTCCAAGCGAGAAGTCCGCGCAGGCAGGCGCAGTCGAAGTAAGCGGTCAGGTCATGGCGCGACATGTTGGAAAGAGGACGGTGTCTGAAGTTTCATAAAGGTCAAATCTCTTGAGGTCTTGAACTGCTCTGGAGCTAGGTCTCAAGCTGCTCGTGTTCTGCCAAAACTTGCCGGCACCTGGCATGGCCCCGTTGAGCCCAATGCTTCAAGAAGATCGCCTTTCGAACCGTTCCGCCACCTGTCACCCTTCTTGCCTAACGCTACGGTGTGATGCTGGTGGAATCATCCCGCCGGGACACTCGGTCTGTGCTGAGGGACTCGGCCTGTTAACCTCTGCCACCCAACAAGGAACAAGAGAGAGCCAAGCTACTGAACTGCAGGCATATGATAGCAGGCAGCACCGAGGTTTTGCATCGATCCTTCGCTCGTGTGGTTTGCTTGGCTCCTTTGAGGATGCCAACTTTCAACTGTCCTGAGGTGGGAACACTTTTCAAAACATACTGATGATTCCTTGTGGTGTTTTTTCGTCTCAAGTGCTTGCAAACGATGCTCTCACCCCCACCAGCCAACTCTCTCGAGCTTGCATCGTGCAAACAAGGCTTTCGAACTGGAAGTTTCCAGAGACAGAAGACCAGAATATGCAGGTAGTGGCATCCTCCACAAGAGGGCTACTGAGCAGGGAACCCGAAGCTTAAGAAGCCCTGAAGCCAGACAGCCCTCTGCTCAAGTCACGGTATGGATTTGGGTTCGCAAATGCAACGGAGAAACCAGGACAAGGCACTGTGTGTATATGCATATACATATAATTATGTAGACATATGTGCATACGTATATATATATATATATATACATACATACATACGTACGTACATACATGGATAGACACATGGATAGGTAGATGGACCGGTAATTATGAAGAGATATCGGCCCAATGTGCCCTTGTGCCTGTGGTGGTTTCCTATACATACAAGTTGGCGTGTGTGTGTATACACACACACATACATACATACATACATTACATTACATTACATTACATTACATTACATTACATTACATTACATTACCATACATACATACATGCGTACATACATGCGTACATACGTATATACATATCAAAGTACTGTATGACATTATTATACATACTGATTTTCCTGTAGACTCCGACACGCTGGCCTACAGGCCAGGCGGCCATACACTGCTTTATTCGCTCTATACACTTGCATGTCATTGTAGAGTTTCTCTGGAAATCACAAAACATGCTGCTTCTAATCTGTGCACACTTGCCTCATGAAAGCCCCGGAGCCAACTGCAGTGTCACTGGACACTGCAGCCTCACGAGCAAACAAGAGTAAGGATGAATCAAGCCGGCAAAGACCTACATTCTATGAACCGCATGAAACAGAAGCTGCTCCTGCAGCATCCCTGTAAGCAGCAAGCAGCAATACGATCGCATGTCGCACGCACTGCTGCCGCCGGGAGGCAAAGCAGGCATGCAACAACGGCCGCACTTCCCCTCGACGGTCGCTCTTCGGAGAGACTAAGTCACAGAAGTCGAAAGTTGAAGTACGGCCGTAGGTCCCAGGACCTTTGGAACTTCTCAGTGGCGTCTCTGCGTTTCCTACCGAGCCATCAGCTGATCCGTTTCCGACCTGACGCAATCCACTGATGCACACTAACAGTTCATGGGGTCTGTAAGGCGAGTCATTGGGAAATGAGACGTGCCGCCAGAGGTTGCCTACACTTGATAATCACCCGCACACGGGTCAGGGGACAACGAGTACCGGCATCTTCCGATAGTGGTCAAGGCTATACCCGCTTGAGCCAATTCCAGATCATGCATATAGACGCAAGCAGACTGAAACACAATACACGCGGATTACAAGTATTTTAGTCAAAGTCTCCGCCAGGCTGGGCTGAAATCACCACAATACATCAAATCGCTGGGAGTAGAGCTCCTCCGCGGCCGCAGGCGGAGACCAATCCGCAGGCGGAGACCAATCTCCAAAACTGGGAAAGAAGCGGAAAGGCTTCGGTGGAACAGAGTACGGTACGGACCTGGCTTTGAGGCGTACCGATGGAAGGATTTTCTTGGCGTCTTCACTAAAATTAAACGATTCTAACCTCGTGCCTCGCATGCTGACGTCTTCTCGCAGCCCTTCAATGCGAAAATGGACTGGGGACTTCCCTACACTCTAAACTCCAAGGAAGCAAGTGAGAGCCCGGCTCTGTGTGCATGCCCGGGAAGCTCTCCTCCAGTTCGGATCCATGCTACATTGCACTCATTTAGCTCATATATGTAGAAGCCCACTAAACGCCTTCATCATGATGTGTTTTGTATCCTGCTTTGATTATCGCAAACCAGCATTGGAAGCCTTCAGGGGCCTTGTCATCCTCTGTGCTACTACTGGACTCTTCCGAGCCTCCTCATCTTCCTGACTGTCCGCTTCAGACAGCACCAGTTTTCTCCGAAACCTCCTTCGCATCTACGCCTCGAGGTCATAAGTTTGGATCTCGCCCTGAGCCGACGAGCAGGCATGAGTGCCTCAGATGGATCCTCTTCTTCAAGCTCCCACGTCTGCCACGCCTTTTGCAGTCTACGGTCTGGGTGGGCGCTGGAAGCTGTGTATTACACAGGACTGCACTAAGCTCTAACTCCGGTGTCTATACACTCTATTTCAATTCCGCTGTCTGTACATATATGCATACATGTATGCCTAGCACTGTGTGTACGTCCACCTACGTACATGCAGTACGCGTCTTCTATATCTACATGTGTCTATGTATATACTTTTGTACCTATACATATACATTAGATAGATATGTGCATACTGCATGTCTTTCTACCTACCTACCCACCTATCGACGACCTACCTACCTACCTGCTGTTCATGCAGCCATCTGCATATCTATCTATCTATCTATCTACCTATCCATCGAGCTAACTATTCCTCGATGTGTCTATCTTTACCAAACTACAGTACGTATGCTGATCTCTGTGTGCACATGCACCAGCGGACATGTCCTTGCATGCTTCTATGCCGATGCATATACATATACATATACATATACATATACATATACATATACATATGCCTATGCTTTATACATGTGCTTATGCATACACGTATATATATATATATACATATATATATATATATACCTATACATCTACATATAGCCGATACCTATACCTATACCTATACATATACATATGCATATACATATACATATACATGCACATATGCATACATATACGTATACATATACATATAAATACATATACACATGTATAAACACATGTACACGTGCATGTCCACGTGCATGTATATATATATATATATATATGTGTATACACGACATGTACATGTACTTGTACATCTACATGTACATATACACGTGTATGTACGTACGTATGTACGTATGTGTGTACACGTATTTCGGCGGCACTTTGGATATGTAGCGCGCCGGCTGGGAACTCAAGATTGAAGTCTTGAATTGTGCTACGGTCTTGCACCCAAGTTTGGACCGCGAACTGAAATCAGCTGGTGCAACGACGCAGACATCTGCAAGAGAGAGAGAGAGAGAGAGAGAGAGAGGGAGACACACCCACACACACGCACACACATGCAAGCACAGAGCAAGAGGGAGTGCGAATGTCGTTGTCATGGCTGGCTAGTGACCGTTAACAGCAGACGTGGCTCTCCAGCTGTCCTCAGAACAAAATGTGACTGCCGTGCATCTGAGAGCGCGGCCCCCTCGGGCAGTGGCTCCGTCCAATGGGCTTCATCCGCACCCTGTGCCGCTGAATTCTTATCCGAAACGGATACGTACTGCTTGTGAGTCAGGTGAGATGGACTTGTAAGAAGAGGAAGAAAGCCTCAAGATTTTAATGCCAGATAATCGAAGCTTCAGTACCGAGCCTCCAAATGCTGCTCCAGCATGGACCTCTCAAGAGACCTCACGCTCCGGCTCTTGCACTGTAGTCTTGCACCCCAAGCCGGTCAAGCACTGAGGAATGTCCAGGGCGCCGGCTCCGCAAAAGCGCTGGCTACTTGAGAGACCTGAACCCCCAGGTCAACCCGAATCTGAAAGAACAGAGCTTAGCTTCGCGCCCATGGCCTACTTTGCGGAAGGCAATCGACAGGGCTGCTACATGCTAGTGCAATTCCGAATGCAACATGGTTATCATAATCGTAGGTAGTAAAACAGTGCTAGGAGAAGTCGCGGCAGCAGCGGTGGTGATGGCGGTGGTGGTAAGAGTACAAGTCCTGCAGTACAAGTGCTAGTACTAGTACTAATAGCAGCATGCAGTAGTGATTGATAGCACTAGTCGTCGTCGTTGTCGTCGTCGTTGGACAGCCGCAGCTCTAGCAAAGCAATGGCACCGTCTACATTTTCCCTGTCATCAGCCGTTGCGAATCTCTTGCAATTTCCGGAAGTCGCAAGCGTGATACTGTGGAATTACACGTCATACTGCTTTTGCAACAGTCGCATAACGCATCAGTGCCCACAGACGAAAGCAATCGCGTCAGGCCTGGTCGTCGGCGAAAACATCATTTCGTTGTTCAACCTTCCACTATCAAACATGTTGCCGCGATGTTATGGGCTAGTTAGAACTGCAAAAGCCCGGCCAGCCCGTTCATTGTCTGTCTCCGCTGTTCAAAACTGCAGCCTTCGAGAGAAAGCTTTCTGCCGCCCATCTCTCGTCAAGCTGCTTGGGGTTGTACCTAAGTGGAAGTCCCGAGCAATTGCTGGAGAAAGCTACACTACAATAAGACCCCAAAACACCATCGAAACCACTACGGCCCCTAGATTCACGCGAACCTTAAATCCGAAATCCTAAATCCCAAAACCCTGAAGCTCCCTTCTTATCTCGTTTTTTATGACCGCGTCGCTGTTTCAAAAGCGAGCACACCAGCTTCGCGAACTCATCGACCCGGGGCCCTTTGTCCGTAGGCATCAGGCCGGACCTGAGAGGAGGCTCGAGGGGAATGGGGTTTAGGGTTGAAGGATTTAGGGGTTTACTGTTTGGGGTTGAGGGATTTAAGAGTTTAGGGTTTTGGGTTTTGGGTCTTCAGGGTCTAGGGCTGAGGGATTTGGGTGTTTAGAGTTGAGGGATTTAAGGGCGTAGGAGAGTTCAGGGTTACAGTCATCTGAATAGGTATCCATTCGTTTATTTGTTCGTATATATACACATATATATATATATATATATATATGGTCACCCCCCCCCATGACCCAAAATTTCCAAAAATTCCAAAATTTCCGAAATTTCCAAAATTTCCAAAATTTCCAAAATTTCCAAAATTTCCAAAAAGTCCGCCCTTATGTTTTGGAAAAATCCTGTCGGCTAGGTCGGGCCGTTTTGGAAATTTTTGAAATTTTGGAAATTTTGGAAATTTTGGAAATTTCGGAAATTTCGGAAATTTCGGAAATTTCGGAGAGATTTTGGAAATTTTGGAACTTCTGGAATTGATTTTCAATGGGCTGATTGTGACCCATCGGATGACAGACCATGCACTACGACTCACTTGCAAAGACAAGGTCTGTTTAGACGATTGTCAGTGTTTATCTATTTTTCTAAATTGGTACTCGTACGAATACTATTACCAATACTCATTCTGACATTGATCATTTGCTGACTGCCCAAGCTAATACCAGCATTAACACTAATATTTACACTTTTTTAAGCCAATACGAATAGGCACCATACAAATATCAAGTACTAATAATGATTAATACTGACGTTCATACTCCTACGCATATCAATAATTATGCCCATATTGGTAGTAGTGTATTTTAATTCCAATACTAATACACACCTGCATATACCAATGTACATAAATATACATACCACTATATTAAAGTACAAATACATCAGCTCATGCATGTATTTATCTGTTAGTATTTTCATGTAATCAGGAGTAATACTAATATAAGACAAACGTTCATGCGAATACATAACCTCATTTTAATATTAGCACTCGCACTAGCACTATTACTAATACCAATCACACTGTTTATACCAACACCAAGATTTACATAAGTATTGATACTCCTACGGATACTACTGCGTATACTCTTATGCTGTTAACAGTAATGCTGTCACCAATACTAATACTGACATTGATAACTTGCTGATTATTCAAGATAATGCCAGTATTAATACCATTATTAACACTTATACTAAGGCTAATGCGACTATGGATAATCCTAATACGAATATTAACATTAATACTCCTACGAATACCAATAGTCATATTCATATTGATGTGAAGACTAATACCATTACAAAAGACACGTGCATATGCTAATGCACACCAGCACACATACCATTAACTTAAAATGCCGATATGTATCAATGCATTCATGTACTGATGTTTTAGGACAAGCATATACCCATATACCAATGTAACAATATACTACTTGTTAATGTGTGAATATACTATACTAGTATGCTATTATAGTAGTATGCTACTATACTAGTATGCGACTACTGTAATATGCAAGTATACCGACGTGGCAGGTTAGTGTACTAATATGACAACATACTGATACACTTATAAATCTTTAGACAATACACGTATATTGCATATACTAGTATACTAATACACTAATGTACGAATATACTGGCATGTTAATATACTACTATATTAATACAGCAATATACTAGTTTACTCATGCATCAGTTGTACTAAAGTATTAAATCTACGAATATGCAAGTATACAAACATGTTGCCTCTCGAACACATCAATGTGTTGATATACTAATCTGCTGATATACGAAACTATCAGAATAGTAACATATCGAAACTAACTCTAATTTTGATACCACTACTAGCACCTCTGCCATTATTAACTGATATTAAACCCAGCATGAAGACTGATACTAATACTAGCAGTGGAACTATTACTGGCATTGACACTGGCACTAACACTAAGACTAAAACGAAGATGAGCACTAACATTAAAGTATACTTACTACTGTCGATATATACATATATATATATACATATATACATACTTACAGTAAACACTAATACTATTGCTGATACTAATACTAATACCAATATTAATACTCATACTACCACAAAACTCATAACTCACGTGTCGCGCATCTGGTCCATGCGTCCTCAGTACATGGCATGTTAAAAGTATACTTGGTATATGTACTGTAAAGGATTTGCTTTACAGATTGTCGTCATGTGTGGTGTGTTTAGATGCAATATCTCAGCCTAGTCACCGAACGAGAGTACACTATCACAAGGGCATGGTCTGTCAACGGGGGGGGGTGAGCATATATATATATATATGCATATTTTGTATTAGGCTTCATGGCCGAGCTTGCAATTAACGACTTTCTGTGCAAAGGACGAAGTCTTTGATGCTGATGCAAGGCTGCAACGTTCACAAAAGAGCAGGAGACAGAGAGAGAAAGGGAAAGAGAGAGAGAGAGAGAGAGAGAGAGAGAGAGAGGGAGAGCGACAGAGAGAGAAGGACTGCAAGATACTTGTATTGCCGCTCCTGCCAGAACCCATCGGCTGAGAAGCAAACGCGATGTACCTGAAAGGACTCTCATTGACTCTGGGAAGTGAAGAGGTTATTCTGGCCCTGCGGATTTCTGGGAAGGATTTCCTAGCCCGGCCAAAAGGGTTTGGGAGTGGACGAGCCTGGCATCCTCAAGCAACTGCAGAAAGTTGGCTCCGAACTCAGAGCGGCCGTCCTGCAAAAAGGTCTCGGAACTGCGGGTCACGTGTGTTTAGCATCTTTGTGCACTGCAATCGCTGTCCAGGGAATGTAGCAAATCTGTGTAGCCCCAGCCCTGCATCGGCGGACAAAGCCCTCTGTCTACAAGCCCTAGGTCGGAGCGAAGGTCCTGCTCGATGACCTCCGCAAAATCCTTCTCCCAATCTCCCTCGAGGTGGAAGAGCCAGACCCGAAACCGCTCCCTGGCAGACTCCGAGAGACGTAAGCCTAACAAACAGAGGTCTCTTGTGGGTGGAAGGTGTCGGACACATGGGATGTAGAAGATGGCTAACCAAAAACGAGACAGGACAGTGTTTCAGGAAGTTCCGATCCCGAACCATCTGGGTTGCTATCTTGCTTTCCAGGTCGTGCCCCTGTTCCCTGTTGCCCAGACTGAGTGCCCTGCCTTAAAACCGCAGCGTTGCCTTCTCGCCAATGCTCTTTCAAGCAGACGCCGGCATATGCCTGTAGTCTCATGCGAGTAGCAGGCGTTTGTTCGCTGCGTCTCGGCATCTTCATGATCCTGATCCCCCTTGCCGCTCCCGACATAGAAAAAGATATGTGGTAACATCACGTGCTGAGCCGGGCTAGAGCTGGCAGGAGCTGCCGTGGCGTCATCTGCAAGACGTCCAAGCCTTCCAGAAAGCCGCATCAGCCCACAAGCCATTGCCTTAAAGGACTCGGGACAAACTTGGGCTTCAATCATGACCCCTCCAATTCAACAACAGCAGGCGGACAGGCTGCGAAGCTGGGAGCACGAGGGTGCCGCCTGCCCAAGGCAGGTCACCTTGCAGCCGATTGGGGCGTTGTGTTGAGTGGGCACAGCATCTGGAAGAGCCCATCAATAGCAGATGGCCTCCATGAACAAGAAGAGGTAAGCGCGCAACTCCTCTTGCAAGGGGCTTTCGACATCTAGAGTGATTCCCTCAGAGCCAACCTCCTGAAGCTCGAGCACCAATTCCACCAGGGGCGCCCGTCGTGGTCGGGAGGGAGATGAGGGGCCTTGGCACGCAATTCTCGGGTGCAGAATCCTAGAACACGGGCACGTAGCCTGCTCGATCGCCCTCCCACAAAGCATCAGAAACCGTGTAGTACAGCACAGTACGGCGAAGCTCAGAGATGGACTCCGTGGGCCCAAGAGAGCGACCTCGCAGGTCACAGTAGGATCAGGTTTTCAATTCCCTTGCATTCGGAGGCTTTGCCGGACATGCAAAGCCAGCCACGGCAAAACCATTCAGTGCATGCAGGCCTCGACATCCATGGCTCATGTGTACAGGATCTGTCTGTTCATGTGCACGTCTTGCTGGTTTGGTTGGTTCTTCAGCGTTTTTCAGCAGATGAGCTTGGGCTCAATTAGTAGAATCCCGACACGGACTTCCGAATTTAATCTTCGGGATACAGCAACATGATGCTCAGGATGCTCATGTTTTCGAGCTGAGATTTTCGAGAAGCTTACGATGACAGGCGACAGAAGAAAACCGAGGTGCACTTGCCAACGGTGGGGAATCCTAAATTGCATGATAACAGCACAGGGAACACTTTGGAAAGCAACACATGCAGCCCATGTGTGTCTTGAAAATCAACCGACAGCCCCTCAAAGGACCAACATCTCACTGCACATGTTGGAATAGGAACTGTTATGAGATGGCACGATAACGATAAGTACATATGCGCACGGTCACACATACAAACATAGTGTGTATGTATGTGGAGGTATATACCTATATGTACATATATATATATACACATACATATTTACTTACAGACATACATACATGCATAATTACATGCATACATGCAAACATACATACATGCATGCACACATGTATATACGTATCTATGTGTGAACAGATATGTAACGAACAATATCTAAGTAAGCCTGACAGACAGACCATGAATGCGCATGGATGTGTGTGAAAATGTAGCTTTGCGCTGGAGTTGGATTTCAGGCCAAACACTGCAGCGTGGGCAGGAAACAAGGTAGAAACTTTCCGCTGAACCTGGTGAGTATGTGGTGTCGATAGCACTCACACTGCTAAATGTACCTGGTGGATACGAACTCTCGTTGATTTAATATCTGAACCTGCTCAACGCCTCCAAGCGATGTGCGAACAGCAGGAGTCATGTATGTGATGTGCGAAGATGCTGAGGCATCATGAGGTCATGAGGAAAGCTAGTTAAGTCAGTTCCTCTGTTTTACACTATGGGCACAGACCTGCGCCCCGCCACACAAAGCACACCGGCAAATCGCCTTTCAATCAGACCATCATCTGATGCAGCATCCTAAAGAACCACAGGCTTCTCGACAGCCAATGCTGGAAAGCCACAAAACACGTCTTCCGGCTTGTCGGCAGTCAAAGCTGGAAAGCCCAAAAGCGAATTAACGATCGATGATCATGCTCAATGCTCACTCAGTAGTTTCAGCTGCATAGCGTGTTGACTGCCGCTGCTTCCAGGCGGCCAGGACACAGTCCGTGCCCAACCAACTGGCACAAATCGCAAGGAAGGCCAGACCGAAAGCAAGCCCGGATCCTCCTTGGGAGAGGTACGGCACGACCCCAACCACACCGGGTCCAGGACAGATGCCAATGAGACCCCAGCCGAGCCCGAAGGCACAGGAGCCGAAAACCAGGGAACCGTAGTCTCCCCGCTTCGCGGGCTTCTCGAATGCACAGTCCTCGTGAGCTCCACGCAAGGGCTTCCGGTCCTCCTTCTCCGCATAAAGGAAGGATGGTGCAGAAGCACAGAGGCCACAGCCCATCACGAGCATCAGGCTCGGGTCCCAGGTTCCAGCCACGTCCAGGAAGTTCAGGACCTTGTCTTGCCTGGTCATGCCTGAGCAACCCAAGCCCAAGCCGAAGATCAAGCCACTGGCTGTGGGCGAGACGTAGCTACGAACTCTGTAGGGTAGACAGACCGTGAGCACTATGAGGACTGCGGCCGTGACTATGGCACCGACCGGAAACTCCCAGCGCGGAGGCCACTCCAACTTTGCAATGCCCCTGCTTGTCTGGCGATCCACCGCGTGTCGCGACACGGCCACAGCTACTGCTGCCACGATCATGAAGCATGGAACCGCAATCCAGCTCCTTTGGCTGAGCCTGGGCAGGCCACAAATTCCATGTCCTGATGGAGGTCACAAGCGAAATGGAATCTAATGTTGCGGCGCGCTCAGGAGAGTATGTTTTTTACAAGAGCTACGAGCACGTAGTCTACCCAGAAAGAAGAAGCAGAGTAGCAACAAGCCCTAGCAGGCCCTAGCAGTAGTCGTGGCAAAAGTAGCAATGAGAACAAGGCACGGCAACAAGGCCAGCGTAACAATTGTTGGCTACGCTTGTCAGCGTTGATCAGTGCCAAGGGAGGTTCCACTGCAACAACCTGTGCTATGGCTGTTGCTACCATAAAGACTATCAGCATTGCTTTGATTGTTGAGAGTCCTCAGGTTGCCATTACCGGTCTTCTTTTACTTAGGGGCCTAAGGCAAAAAGAAGCCGTCAACAAAGCAACAGGCTCCCTTTTCCGTCCTGAGGTGCAACCACGACCCAGCCTCGTGCCCAACCCGATGCAAAGGCCGCCAAGGAAGTAGCGGAGCGCTGCGAAGGGCATCGCCTCCGGAAACGCAAAGCTACCATTCAGCAGAAGATTGATCAAACCAGCCAAAACGAGTCCGAGAAGAAAGAGCCACTTCCACAAGGTCTCTCTGAGCTGGCATGTCCCCAAACTTCTCAACGCAGGCCCCAGGATGCCACTGATGCCGGTGATCTTCCCGTCGGCCATGTAGGCCAAGGAGGCCGCGCTGCCTATCAGCAGGCCTCCGATGCTCGACTCCAGGGGTGTGAAGGCCATCGGCTCTTAGACTCTCACAAACCAAAGAGGACCTCGGTCTGAAAAGGGAAGACGGCTGCTGACTCGGGAGGACCGCCTTGTACGTATGTTTTATGAGCTCGTCCGTGAAGGCCCGCACCCCCCCCTCCAAGTGGTCTGTTTTGCCTTCCAGCATCCTCGAGCCGACACGATCCTCCTTCTGGTGTGGAGGTGTCAGAGACATTAGCTGGTACAGCCTGAGGGAGACGATTGTTTCCATCTCTACATGCAACCATTGCCACTGCACTTCACTTATCGTCCTACCCTCAGCGCGTGAATCGATGTCGGGGAAGTGCTAAGCGCAGCCACCCCACGGGTCAGAAACCGGCACCCAGACTGTGTCGGAAGCAAACTCGAGGGAATCAGGGCCTTCATTCGTAGCTATTGCTCTATGCCACCCTAAACAGTCAGTTCAAGCAAGATGCCAGTTACCTTTGCTCCCTTCATCACAGTCAGTGCATATGAGAAAACGGTACCCCTCTCAACCCTCTGTGCGCCCTCGACATCGCTGAGGGAACCGTGGATCCGTCATGTACCTGAAAGAGACCAAAGAGGACTTAATATAGGGCCTTAATAATTAGAATAAGGTTTTGGGGTATAGTTTACTATGATCATAATAACAATAATACTAATAAAAAAAAGATAGTACTAAGGAACACCTAAAATAGTATTGGTAATTATTTATTTAGGCCCGTATATGGGGACTCAGGCTCTATACTTGAAGCTTTCTTGAGAGGCTTCGAGAGAAATCTGCCGGAGCAGCCGGGAAACTAGGCTCCCTGTAACCTCTTTAGGATTCAGGGTTTGTTTTTTAAATGCAGTGGCCCTTTCTCCGCGCATGCGGTTTAGGGTTTAGGGTATAGGGTCTAGTTCTAGGGTTTAAGGTTTGATTCTCCGGCGAATGCTCTACAGCCGAAGAGCTCCAGGTAGCAAAATCGCTGGCCGACAGTTCTCGCGACTCAATCTAGGAAGGGTTCCTAATGATCCTAATGAACTTGTGAAGAGCCTTTCAAAGGTCCTTGCTTGACTGGCCAACGACGAGTCGTCCTGGAAAAGCTGAGCGCCAAGCATGCTTCCACTGTCCCGGCAGCGTGCCAGCAAGTCCTAACTGCCCGGCTTCAGACTGAGAAGAACTGAACGGGAAATGCAAGAAGGAGCTAGCATCGAATCCCACAAGCCAACTGCCCAAGAGTGTCACGAGAAGCAAAAACCGTCCACCCTCACAATGTAGTCCAAGACATGCAGTGCAGGACTCAATGCGGTACACACACGCACACATTTACATGATTTACACGCACGCGCAGGGGCAAACACGGATGCACCTGAGTGTCACCGAGCTGCGCTTGCTGGCGCTGTCGCTGTCTTCGGCAGCACGAGTCGTGTGGCATTGTCCAAACGGCCAATGTCAGGCTCCCCCGGTGCGTCAGGCACCTCGAACACCTGCAAGAGACTGTGCTCTTTCACGGCAGCGGCGGTGGTGGCGGCGGTTCATGCTGCCCTCAGGCTTCGTAACGCTGTTGGACTGCCTCCCCTAGCGAAGATAGACTTGCCTTTATTATGACGATAAATGAGCACCAGAAGGCTGTCGATCATTGAATCATGGTTGATAGCGTTGCTCATGAGCATGTACACAGCAATTCGTTTCAAACCCTACGTGTAAAGACCACTGAAGCCTTATCAAAGGCGGCTGCCTCCTGTCTACTGATGGCACAGCAGCGGATGCAAAGGGACTGCAAGGGAGCTGTAGCCACTTGTGGAATATGCAGTCGGCTCTGATGCCTTGTACCTGGATCCGCAGAATTAGGGAGTTTCGGAAAATGGGTGACCCTAGTATAGCACCCTAAATAAATAGTAGGATCCTTATAAGGACACCAGAATAAGGACCCCTCATTCTCGGAAACTCCTATTTGGAGATCAACAGCCCACCCTCCGACTGCCCCGGCTGGGCTGGACATGGGCCTTGACGGCCATTCTGATGCGGCTCTGCTGCAACTGGGTTCGCATGGCCTGTGCCGCATGCGGATGCTACGTCGTCAGAACTCTTGAATGTCAGAGCTGGGACTGTCGTGCCTCCGGAATGCCATGTCAATGTGAAAGTAGCGAGTGACACCTGCACAGGCCTCCACATCCTCCGTGAAGCTGTTCACGGCGACAACTTGATCCCCCTGGCGATTCCGTGTCATCTTTGCTTTGCGCTTGCCCTGCTAATTTTGGTGGGAAGTCATGTCACGGAAGTTGCAGAGCATCACAGTCTGGATCCCACCTCGTTGACCTGAACGTCTGGATGCTCCGCATTCCACCTAAGCGCAGGTCCAGCTGCCCAAGAAAGCTGATTTCCAGTTGGACATGGCACAGCAGCCTAGTCTGCGAGCTCAAATGTCACACACCGCAGAAGTGCCTTGTGAGACAAGTCAATGGTGACCGTAAGGCCACGTGCTCATAAACCAGGGAACTGAGATTTTGTCCACAGCACTTAGATTGCGAAGAGCACTTCAAACCCTCTTCCTCCTCCACGTTTCGCAATTTTGCGCAAGATTGCTGGAGGGACTCTCGAGCTGAGTCGGGCAGCATGTGTTGGGTCGGTTTGGGCAAGGTACCATGGCCTCTCGCCACAGGTAAGCATTCCTGCTGGCATGCGAAGACGTGGGCTGTGCTCGGAGGCCACGTTCAGGGAACGACGATGCGTTTCGAAGAAAGCCCGCTGACCGCCACTTGCTGAGAGGCAAGAGACGTCTGGGTAGAAGGAGCTTTTCTGAGTACTATAAGGGTCTTAATGATTAGAATAGGGTTTGGGGGCCGATTATACTACAATTGTAATAAGGGGCCTCCAGAAATAGTATTATTGTCAATAATTAAGGATGCCTTACAGGAGCCCTTTCAAAGGAACCCTAGTCTAACTATCACGGCCCTTATTACATTACTTCAATGACAAGACTCCCGGGCTGAAAGCTCCCGGCTTGGCGAGAAGGCCCTCAGGATCAATCCAAGTGATTTGCAGCGACCTGCCAGAGGAACCCTTCAAAATCTTGATGTAGGCGCCTTCATAATTAGAATAGGGTTTTGGGGTATACTATACTATACTTATAATAATGAACCCCTCAAATAATGTAGGTGAATATTAAGGCTCCCATATTCCTATGTTAGCCAAAGGTGATTACTGTCAGTCTTGTCTGAGCTCTGTCTGCATCACTCCTGCCACCCGCGACTTCTGTATGCGTAGCTCAACGATGGGTGGTCACAGTCTGCGAGGCCATGTTCCCCATTCTTATGTGCACCTGCCGTCGTCCCCGGGCACATTCGCGAAGCCAAACCTTCAGGCTTTCAGATTGCCATTCGAGAGTTATTCGGAAATTTGCGAGGAACTAACGTTGGACAAAGCCTTCAGACTGTCGACCCAGCACTTTGAGAAAGCACGAGGGAAGGAGAGAGGGAGTGAGACAGGGCATGCTGCACCTCACTTGCTCCGACCACGGGGTTCCAACCGGCACTCGGCCATCACAGAACATAGCCAGCCTGTCCGCTTGCACCACAGGTACCATGTCCTCAGTTTTTGCCAACGACCCTCCATGGACCACTGGAGAATGGTTAACCCCGTCCCTGCGTGAGTTCTGGGTCGCTACACGACCTCTGAACCCTAGTAGTAAGCCTTAAATTAGTGACCCTTGCTTGCTTTGTTGTAACCCTTAAACGTAACTTTACACCGTAACCCTGTAATATTAGTGACCCTTAGTCAGGGCAGCCGTTGCAGTAACCCTTGATTGTCGTAAGCCTTATCGTAGCCCTGGTAGCTGACTCTCAGACTCTGAGGTCGCAACCCGCTTCGTGCCGCATCTCCGGCAAAACCTCGATATCAGAAGACACGCTGTCGCACGCCTTCTTCAAGAGTTGTCGCAACTAGAACGGTCACTACAATGCGAAGGGAAGCTGGTTCTGGTCAAGCTGCATTGCTCTCTTGGCCACAAGCCGCCATTCCAGTGCGGATGCCAAAACCACATTATGCCGCACAATCCTGACCCTAAGCCCTGTGCCGGTAACTCTTAAATCCATCGCTGTCGCGAGTTCGCTCCCAATTTCTGCTACCGGTGCCGTTCCTGCGAGCGCCACAAGCAGCACCATGAATCGACTTGCCATGAGTAGACTAGTCTTGCGATCATGCCCCATTTGAATCACTGCTTGTGTTCATATTATCGCTGTTCGTCTTAACGTTCTCTAGAGAGACAAAGCCCCGAAGTTTCCCCGCACAGCGCCAAGGCGGATGCTCTGAGTCCGGCATGAACCTCGAGATCCAGAAGCTAAGCCACGGCTTGGGCATCGCGAGTACAGTTGAGGGGTTTAAGACCAGGTCTAAGGGCTTCGAGTCAGGGCTCACAGTGTAGGAGTTGAGGGTTTACGATGCGCGAATTGCGGCTCAGGGTCTTAGTTGTTGAAAACTTGTTTCTACTCTGGCATCCCACCGAGGAAAGCTTTACTACCGAATGCTTGCTGTCACTGCGGTCCACGATTGCTGGTTTCTTGCCGTGCACTGCTCAAAGGGTGGCTATCAATACTGCAGCTGCTCTTGGTCTTGAGCCATTGCTGCTTGTGCTGTATTGCTATCATAACGAGAGTCCGTACTACTGCTAGTACCTCTGTTGCTAGTCTTACGGTGGTCATTATGTCTGCAGCAGCACTTCTTGCCGTGCCTACTGTTCTTTGTTCCTTGCTTCTTTTACTGACTGTCTTGCTGCTAGTACAGGTATTGTTGATGCAACTACTACAACCATACAGTTATGCGGTTGTTCGCGCTTGCCATGTTTATGTACCCAATTTTCTGTCACGGAAAAAGGAGATCTACAGTCAGTGTGGAGCTTGTGCATGAAGAACTAGCGAAGAAGAGAACAAGCTTGCCACCCGAGCTCTCGCCCCGCCGTGCAAAAATGCCCCTCACAGAACTTCCTAAGTCAGCTGACAGATACCCCTGTCAAGGACAGCCGGTAGAAGCACCTGTTGCCACAATTCCAGCACGAATCCGCTGGCTTCAGAGACTCCTGATCCATGAATTGTTGCCACATTGTCTCTGGCGCATTCAAGGGCAGCGGCTACGGTGCCGCATTCGAGATAGTGACCATGGAAGCCATTGTCGCACGCACCGCCATCTTATGCGACCGTCACCATCGTAATCAACATATCTATGCTGAAAGTGTGTCTCATCCGTTTACACCTGCTCGGAAATCAGACAAGATGTGCCCTTCGGGCGAAGCGGTGCGCAACAAGAGGTGCGACACGCACCATAAGTCGTGCCCATCGGTAAGCAAAGACGGATCTATCATCAGCATCGCCCATCGTCCACAGTGATGCTCAGCTAACATAGGCCATGGCAAAACAGAATGATGACGCTCAGGGCGGGAGTATGCGTGCGATGGTGCTGACGACGAGGATGATGATCAATCATCGTAGCATGGAGTAATGGCAAGCGCGAAACGAGATGACTCATCATCGTCGTCATTGCCGTTTAGGCTTGCAGGCAAGTCCTTGTCGAGGGTCACGTCCACCTGCCTTTTGGGCAATGGAGCTGCCGCCTTCAAGTGACTTTTCAGATCACTTCAGGGCAGCTGCTTCAGGGTCTATACTATACTCTAGTACGTTATACTATACTATACTGCACTATACTATACTTTACGATCCTGATTTTTCTATACTGGTTACTCTTACATAAAATTTGTTACTACCATCTATTATACTATACTCTATGTTCTGTGCAGGCGCCGAGCCTTGCCGTTGGCAAGGCCAGATCGAGGCCTTGGTTGTACAGAGCATGATAGTGCGGATGCAGGCTGCAGCGCAGCCTGCATAGTGTAGTAGAGGGTCAGTACAGTATAGTAATATAGTATAGTATAGTGACATAGTATAGTATCCCAAAATAGAGGCAGGAGAAAAGAAAACCCTCAAAGCCTTTCGGAGGGATGCTCTAAGCTCTCGCTCCTTCGCCTCGGAGTGTCGGAGCTCTTGTCACACCACGAACTGATCATGCGAAGACCATGCCCTGCAAAGGAGCTGCCGACAACCGGAACGCTATGCCTCGAGTGGTGAGACGATCTCCACTTCTCGCTGGGTTCTTGTTAAGGGATGTGATTTAAGTTCCAATAATAAGGAACCATATATAGATCCCGACTATCGTAACTTACAAAATCCCTTATCAAATACCCAGCCTCTCCACACCCTGCCTCCCAGGGCTCAACTGATTAGACTAGGGTTTTGGGGTACACCATACTGATATTCAGGAGCCCCAACAACAGTATTGAAATTATGAGGGACGGAGCGTTGGATCCCTTATCTACCAAACACTTCCTGGTACACTCAACAAAGTAGGCTGACAGAGATGCGGCCATGAGCCCATGGATGCAGCGTGATGCCGAGTGCCCTTTGGCACGACAGCGGATGCAGCTGCTTCGAGCTTCCTAGCTACGGAAAGACAGGATGTTCACACGTGCGACAGAATAAAAAGGCACACACCTTGCTGTCTCGCGATACTTCCAGAACCAAGGACTTGGAATTCCCATGGCAGGACATCTAAGTTGCATCAGTCTAAACTGGGCTGGACCTCTCAGTGCCCGGAAAGATTTCCCATCAATTCCATCACTTTCATTCACAGGCCTTTTTCAGAGTTTAGTTTTGTGCACCAGGATCTCTTGAAAAGTCCAGCCCGAACAGCTCAAGGACTGCCTGCCCTACCTGTCTTCGGGCTTGCGATCACCCAGCAGCCTACGTGCCAGGGATGTTTCGGAAGGTGCCTGGCCGGGAGCTCGTTCGAACACACCCTTCCGGTCCATACCTACTTGCAGCTTTATCTCCCAAGCAACCCCATTAAAGGATACTAAAGGTGCATGCACTGAATTGCGTATGCAGCCAGATTTCTGATGACCCGTCATTCACTCGAGGATTCTAGTCGTTTTGCAACATGTATGAACGTCAGCCACGCACGCTCTGCTTCTTTATCTACTGGGGCTTACACTACACATGTCTCTTTGGCATGCTTTATCACCTTTGGTCGCAGCCAGTCGTAGCTTGTCCTCGCCTGTTGTCTTGGGTTCTATCTTGCTTCAATGGAGTTCGATGAAGCGGCGGTGGCAGCGGTGGGCGTTAGTTATGACAATCCGCCAAAAACCTGACGTCATGATGATTTAGATAACAACGGCGATGATGGGGATGGGGAGGAAGATGATCGTCATGGTGGTGGGGCTGATTACTTATTATGAATATTAAAAAGTAGTAGCAGTAGCAGCATCAGGAGCAGGAGCAGGAGAGAAAGAGGGAGGTACGGAGAAAGAGGCAGAGAGAGGCAGGGAAGGGGGGGAGTCATGCAGTAGACTCGCTGCTAGCATGACTGGTGAAGCTGCTCTGTAGGCCTTGACCTCCCGGAGACACAGGGGACAGACCTGGCAGTCACGCTTGGAATCGGGAGCGGATCAGAAGGACGGCTGCTTGCAGCAGCCCAGGTTGGTTCGACAAAGCACTTTTGAACCTCTTGGCTGGTCTGCAATACCAACCAACTGCGGAAAAAACAATGGAAGAAAACACAAGCTGGCATCCTTACTCCACAGACCCTGACCTTAAAGCCCTCTTAGGGTAACTATACTTATAGCTACTTATAACCCTAGTTAAGGTACTTATATTACTACGTCCGATGATCCTCCAAGTAAACCCTCAATCCTAACCCTACATCCTAAACCGCACCCCCTCAAACCTTAAACCCTCAGACCCTGAATCCTAAACCGCTTCCTCTCTCGGCCACAAGCTGAATCCTGCAGGGTTTGGGCGTCGCACCACTCAAAGTACTGACGAACCGCCTTCCTGGACCCTAAAACCCCAAATAACCGACGTTGTGCAGGACTCAAAAGAGGAAATCATACTAGGGAACCCTAAAACGGACAGTTTCATGTTATATAACGAAATAATCCTAGGGATCCTTAAAAAGGGAAGGTTTCGTAGTGTAGGTGCAAACCTCTCATCTGAAGCATGGAAGCTTGCCTGGTTCCGTCGGAGCCATCGATCGATGCAGCTTTGATGGAAAACGTGATTGCAAGGTAGGCGACGCACTAGGTCCTTTCCTTGCTGGGCATGGGGGGTTCAAGATTTCGAGACGTCGAGAACTGGAGTTCCAGGCGAGTTCGGGACTTGGTTCCAGAACTTGAAGAGTAGGATGATCTTCACGTCTACACCCGCGGTTATGTCTACACAGTTCCATTATGTGGCCTTAGTATGTGCGGAGTGGACTTCAACCCTGCTACTCCATCCTCCTCGCATCTTTGGTACGTGCTGTTGTGTGTCTGTGTGACGGTATCCTGTTCATACAGCAGCTCACCATTCGCGACTATGTTGCGCTGCGCGATCTGCGCTATCCTCAGCATGACCCAATCGACGTGCACTGATCAGGTGCCTCGACAAAACGAGCTTATGCGCTGCATGTTGAGTGGAAGGCCTTGGGTTCTTTTTTAGGCACTTTCTCAACACAGAACGACAGCTCGAACCGTGCCAGCAAAGTGAAGCAGGTAAACTATGGCCCATTCAGGCATGATGCAGACTAGCATGCGACCGGCACATGAGACAATACAAGCTGAGCTCTTCAATACCCGGACAGGCTCAGCCCCATGTAGAGGTTCCTCTAAACTTCGGAACAAGCGGCGCTCGAAGTCACAAAGACAAACCGCACAGCTGCTCTCCCGCCGCCGCTCGCCTGCCTGGCGGCGGTGATGAGCTTCAGCCGGTGCTGCCTGGGAAGGGGCCGAGCTGGCACGCTTGATATGAATAGAATAGAGCAATAGATCATAGGAGCAAGCAGAACAGAAAAACAGCGGAGTGAAATCGATCACCGTGCGGACCTGGAGCCACAATTCTGAGAGCCGCACGCAGCAATCATCATCCTGGCCGGCCGGCTCCTGAAAAATTGCGAACTTGGACGCTTCCAGCCATCGTCCTTATCGTCCTCCTTGTCATGATTGTCAGCCACCATCAACCGCTTCAACCAAAATATTTACTATCATCTTCAGTACATGGTCATCGTCGTCCTGACGACTTGGTAGCATGACCGCCGCCAACCTTTAGCATCGCTATGACTTCCAACAGATGTTTTCGGAGTGGTTTCGCGCGTTGCTGCAACTTGCGTGCCCCAGCGCAGAGCCGCACGCCAACTGCACGTGCTAGCACGTCTCTCGAGGAGGCTACGGTATAACAGAAACCCGGAAGCCAACAACCCAAAGTACTTACCTTTAATTAGTAGGGAATGGAAGAATGGTAGTAATAGTAGCTATAATTGTACCCCATTCCTCCATTCCCCTAACCAAAGGTAAGTCACAGGATTCTTAAGGCCCCTATATCATAGTACCCTTATAGATCCCTAATAGTAACCCTTATAGACCCCTTTATAACCAAAAGGCAAGAGCAGGGGCTGCCCAAGAACCGACTGCCGGAAGTCCTCGGAACCGAACTCGTGCACGGGCAGGGCATCAATGAGCTCCTGTTCGGTCAGCATCCGGGAAAGCCGGTCGGGTGATTAGAATAGGGTGGTCTTGAAGGGATCCTTAAAAGGGTTACTATAAGGGATCTATAAGGGCACTATAATGTAGGGGCCTTAAAAATAGAATAGGGTTTTGGGGCCTAATAAGGAATCCAGGGACCTTAAACAATAGAACAAGGTTTTGGGGCATATTATACTGCAATTCGAAGAAGGAACCCCCCAAAATAGTATTGGTAACTATGTAGGCCCCTAGATTACGCGATGATGGGGGGACATCAACAGTCACTATCTTGAAAATCACTGATGATTCTGACAGATGGAGAAAGACTGAGAGCATGCACGATGGTAGTGATAAACTACAACGGCACATTACACCAAAAACGGAATTGGCAGCAGATACCATCGTGACCAGCAGCTGCACCACCACCAGCACCACCAACAACAACAACAACAACAACAACAACAACAACAACAACAACAACAACAACAACAACAACAATGATGACAAGGATAATCATGCTGTCAACATGCAGTTTCAGTGCCTAACACAAACAATCCTTGCATTGGTCAAAATTATGATAATACCAGCAACGGGACTCTCTTACAGAGACTTTGTTGCCGTCAAGACCGGCTCAGAAGTGATCAAGAAGAGGGGCCTTGGGTCAGCTACAGCATAATTATGCAGATGCTAGTTATCACTATGAATATTAGTATCATATTATTACTAGGTTTTAAAAGGAAATATTAGTATCGCATTGTAAACTATTCTCATTCCCAGACTTGGTGGTGAGACCGGCTCATGGGCTGCGACTGGAGGACTCGCAGAGTTAGTAAAGTTCCCATCGGAGCTGCACTGCATAAACACAATATACACACAAAGGAACACATTAGTGCGTGTTTGTGTGTGTGCATCGCCTACACACTAAGAGGTATGCCGCAAATGTCTCTTTTTCTTTCATCTCTAGTGACAAACTGCGGCAAGAAAACAAATAAAAGTCACCCGAAACGTGCACCCCAAACGCCTGCCGAAGCCCTCGAGACCCTCGCAGTCTGCTCTCTCCCACCTGTGGGGCTCCCCGGGGCTTGTGCTGCGTGGATGCCTGGCGCCATCAAGCTTTGGGGATGCCGAGAGTTGCTGAAATCCTGTAAACTCTGTAGACTGTTGAGCTCTTGAGGATTCTTGATGCTTCGCCGGCACCTCCCCTCTCACCGGAAAGCATCGATTGAAGACTACCTCAGAGGGCTTGCAATCCATCATGCAGTCCGCTGCGCACACCCCTGCGACGCAGACTCCGCTCAAGCTCTGGACTCTGGTCGAGAAACAGTCACGCTACTGAGGTCAACACAGAACGCTCCAGGTCCTAGGGCTGCCCTTGCTCGAGTTGTTGGATCTAAGACTCATCTGCACCACAAGGCGCTAGTGTTATGAGCAGCTTCAAGAAGGAGAAGACGACCACCATAAGGGACAACCTGCCAGCACATACTTGACTGCAATCAGAAATGGCAAGCTGGTCCCTACCTACTAACCTGAGATAGCTGCCGCAGATTCACAAACATGGCGTAATGTGCCAATCTGTTGAACTGGGAACGGCAAAGCGCGGCTCGGTCCATCACTATCTTCACAAACTAGACATTTCATAAAGCCACATGGCAGGAGTAATCCTAATAATACCCCTTACAGCACCGAGTACAGTACCCCTACAAAGACTGCAACCCTAAACTACCCCACGTCATGAATTCATATGAGCCTCTGCCTGTGTTAAGGCTCCGGGTCCGTCCTTTCAGTCCCCTGCTGCTTTTGTTTGAACTATTTATCTGGGGTTCAGATCCCGTCAAAGTGTCAAAGACCCCAATGCCCTTAAATTAGGGAATGCAGCTTGAATGACTTTAACGGAGACACCGTAAATCAATGGCAGGGATCCCTCGTATTTTGATTTAAGCCACGTGGTAGATTGATACTCGGAGTGGAAGGCCCGAGAAAATTCATACAGGATGATGGTCGGATCGTAGTTTTCATCTCCCATACCTTGCACCTGCTCACGGAAAAACCTCACCCTGATAGAACCGGCTATACAGCCTCTCAAGTGAACCCTTTCCGTCGCCGTCCTGTATAGCCAAGGGCAAGGTTCGCAGTAGCTGGAGTTCAGCAGCCACACCACCTTGGACTTAGGACTTAGTCTGAGGGAATTTGGGGTTCGGGGCTTGAGACTCTGGAAAATCGGGACTACGACTAAGGGCTCATAGCTCCCGTCTGCGAAACCAACCCAAAAGAGTAGGGGAAATTAAAAAAGATCCCAAAGTTTCAAAGGACAACGCAGCTTCGAATGCAACATGCACGGTGATCGGTCTCCGCGGGGAATCCCTGAAGCGCGAGTACAGGAATAGCTGGAAGGACGCTCTGACGGAGGCGTCAGATGCGCAGTGACTCTGGGCATGTGCCCTCGAGCATTGAACCTGTGCACGAAGATTGGACAGTACCTGAAGTAAATCCCAGGAGTCCGAGAATCAAAGAACGGTGGTGTCAATACAACTGCTATGATTAGTGTACTCACACTGCCGACGTTTATGCTACATTAACCCCAAACCCCTAAACCCCAAACCCCTACACCCTGATACATTACACTTGAAACCCTGAAACTTTTTGAGAGCGGCCGAGCGGCCCCCAGCACGAACCAGGCATAGCTCGTTATCGACACTGCCTGATCAAGAATTTCACGTTCATTTCAGGCGGCTGATTCTTGCCTCTTCACAGGGCACTTGGATGCGGCTAGGGGCGTCTAGCTGTGCTGTAGATGGATACATAAATATGTACAGAGGTGCCTTCAGGCAGCAATTATTACTGAGTGACCCCAAAAACCGCCCAAATAAAAACAATAAGGCTAGGATATCCCATGATTCCCTCTTTGAGTAAGCCAATAAGGTTGGGATATCCCACCCAAAAGTCAATGCTTGGGCGCTTCTTTGGTTCCTGATTACTAACATCGCAACTCGCTACAAGCTGCTCACATGCAGTCTAGCACTAACAAATCTAAAGCACAGCGGTGAAGTGGCTCCACCGCCCTTATCTTCTGAGCCCTGCAACCGCTGCTTTGAGGCGGTTACCATTTTTAGGTACTTTGTCTCTCCGTTTCTCACGTGCTGCGCTAGCAATCTTGCTCTCAAGCAACTCCAGAAGTCGACAGCGGCCCACCTTGCTAGTTCTCCAAGCAGGTGCTTGGGTGAGCTGACGGACACACTCCTGACAGCTTGATAAATGGACTAAGAGGACCTTCCTGCATCAACACCAACTCCAGGAAATCTGGCATATACACACAGAAAGTTATACATATGCGTGCATGCATGTGCGTATATATATATATATATATATAGATGTATACATATATATATATATATATATATAGACGTATTAATGTATGTGTGTATGTATGTATGTATGTATGTATGTACGTACGTACGCGGGTATGTGTGTATGTAAAGCTATGTGTATATATATATATATATATATATTCAAGTATATTCATTTATTTATCTATATGTATACTTATGTTTATTCTTACCTTTGTATATACACATGTCTGTCTGCTGTCTGTCTGTTTGTCTGGCCGGCGCCGGCGGGCCGGCTGGCTGGCTCTGGCTTTCTTTCGCAGGACCCAGGCTTTCACTCTCTTACTCTCTCTCTCTGTCTCTCTCTCTCTCTCTCTATCTTACTCTCTCTCTCTCTCTCTCTCTCTCTCTCTCGCTCTCTTGAATATGTGTATTCATGTGTATTCTCCACAAACTGCTGCTAGTATCACGGCATGTTGACGATGACTCTCCGTCCTGGAGGTCTCCGTTCAGTCTCTGGATTTCCTTGGCTGGAGCTGGAATTTCTCAAAGAAACTCGGACACGACTCGTGGCAAAAGAGGACCCTCACCCGAATTACCATGATTAGCCGACGGTTGCGCGCATCCTCCTGGATTTCGGCAAGCAACATGCAGGACACAACCTCACCGAAGCCCCCTGGCGGTGATCCAGCGCTCCGGCACTAAGTTTCAACTCACAGCAAGCTTCCCGCACTCTGTAGTAGAAGACCATGCGAACCGGGGCTTGCAGGAGCTGCAGGATGCAGTGCAGCGCAAGCCTGAGAAGGTACGGCGAGCAGTGGAAGCGAGCTTGGATACAGAATGTCATGCAACATCACCTAGTTAGGGGATACGGAGCACTGATCGGTGCAAAGCGGTGTTTCTGCGCCGTCCCACGGTCACAGAGCCGTGCTTCTTTGCGCAACCGTGTTTTCGAGGCTTAGAGGCATCTGGGGGTTTCCGAAAATAGGGGACCCATATAGAGTGCCCTAAATAACCGGATCCTTACTATAGGGACCCCAAAATAAGGTACCCCTATTTTCGGAAACTCCCATCTCGACAGAATCAACTGCTTTCTTCGCTGCACTAGGAGCATGGGCCTCCTGATATTAGTTAATCCAAAGTATTATCTTATATTACACAGACTTATGTTCGAAAGATATTCTTGTGCTATACTCTATCATATTATGTTGTATGATATACTATACTATATATTATGATTCCAGTGTAGCACAGTGTATTACATCACATTCTATTGCGCAAGATCATCTTGTAATGTGTCGCGCTGTATGACCCACACAGCCATAGCCTCACAGATCCTCCTCCACATCATCCTGTGGTACAAATAACCTCTACAAGGTGGCACCCCTGGGAGAAGAATCAAAGCTAAGCCTATGCCGGAAAAATGCCTCTGAATGCCTGAGGTCCTTGCCAACATCGCAGTGGTCGGTTGCAAAGCCTGTCCGATTCAGCTGAGATTCAGAAACGCAGTTGGGAATCCAAGTCTTCGGGCTCAACACTCGTTGCAGTCTCTTCATCCTCTCGAAGCACTGCGCAGCTGAAACCCTGGCACTTGTGCCTGCAGGGGCTCCAGTAGACCATCAAGAAGAGGCAACAAGGGAAAACGGTCACCTCAGAAAGCATGTTGCTCCACTGGGGGAAGTTCAGGGCATGCCGGGAACCTTCGCCGAACCCTACGCAAGATGCCACATCCCGACACCCCAAAGCAACAGTATTCTCCGATCTTCTTCGAGGGCCGCGCCAGGCTCGAGACGCTGCCGTAAAACATCACGACCTTCCAAAGCTCCAGCGGCCGGTGCTACGAGAATCCCGCTCGAGATTGATCATCAGAATTAACAAGACTAATAATAGATTCCCCCAGGTATCACTGTTTGTAGTAATAACAGTATTTGTATTAGTATAAAGGGGGTTCTGCAGGTCTGCATGCCGCTCTCTCCGCTGGTCCGCGAAATTTCGGTGCTTTGGGCTTGGCAAAAATGTCTGCAAAAGCCGAGCCGTCTCCGAACCCAGGGCTGGGTTTCCTACAGTTGGTGATAGAACTCCTGCATGACCTTAATGACCCTAAACTATGGGAATTATGGGAAGTATGGGTAATGCAGGATTTATCATCGACCGTATTAGACGCCTAGTTTCTCTGCAGTCCTTGGAGTCCTTCTGTGTGCAGGCTTTCCGAAGCTACACGTGCCGGGGGTCTCCATATATGTGTGCGTATTCTGAGTATCAATATTGCTGATATTCTTGCGATTGTTGTTTTAATTGTTATTATTGTTAATATTTTTATCATTATCATCTTTACTAATAGTGTTAAGTCTGCAGCTCCACTGGGCTGAGGGCAGTGAGAACCAGCACCCACGCGCCTTGATGAACCATGCCGCCTGAGGTCTTGCAGTAGGGTTTAAGGCTAAAGGTCTTAGGGTTTAGGGGTTTAGGGTTTTGGGGTTAGGGCTTAGTGTTTAGGGTTTGGGTCTTAGTGCTTAGGGGTTTAGGGGTTTAGGGTTTAGGGGATTGGGAATGGAGGTAGACTCTGCATCTGTCGGACGGTGGTGGCCTCCGTAGGGTACTGCTGAACAACGTCCAGGAGAGGCTCTGGGTTGTCTTCCGCCTGACACCGGCCCGCTCTCGCATGCACAGTCTGCATGATGTTTTGTGTGTCTTTACGCACCCACACACACACACATATATATATATATACACAGGCATATGTAGATATATATATATATATATGTGAGAGAGAGAGACAGACAGACAGAGAGAGCCAGGACATATATGTATCTGTGTAAATATGTGTGTATATACATACATATATGCTAGAAGCCGTTACCCATCATATGACCTCTGTGTGTGTATGCTGTCGCGGCTTACATGCCAAATGCCTGGGCATTGTTGCCATCGAAGAAGGACAGCACTCGTCTCTGCGCCGAGCGAATTGCTCTGCGAAGGATCGGTGGCATCGTGGCATCTGCCGCTAGCTTGGAAGGACCACTTCTTCTGGGCGTCGGTTTAGGCTTCAGCGTATCCTGCCTGACATTTGGAGCTACCCAGAGATGGTAAGAACGTTCAAGTCATGCACGGGCCCCAGCATGAAATAGAACGATGACTCATCAAGCACGATACGGCTGCAAGGTGCACTTCGGATCGAGCTTTGTGGATAGAGCGGCTTTACATAGTGCAGGGTCACCCGGCAATCTACAAGCAGCGCACAAGCTCTCTGTGGTGCGCAGCCCGGACAAACTTGTGATGGGAGTCCCGCTCGCCTTAGTCCGCCACATGGTTCTTCGTTCCTACAGGCCTACAGGAGTTCCAAGCGGCTTGAAGGCAGACTGAGGCGGGAAATTGACTACAATCCATGCGTGTGTCTACATCATGTAACGAAGTTAAGGTATCACGAGAAGTACGGACCAATGCGGTGACGCTGATGGGGACCACTGGCGCAATCCCTCACTGGCGCTGTGCTATCATGCGAACTCTTGCAGCCCGCACCTTCGAGAAGTCACACACAACCACACACACACACACACAAACCTTGCTCCACACTCCTTTCCACTCGCTCGGAGTCATGGCAAGCTTTGCTGGCCAGGGCGTTGGGTCTATGATGATCTATGCTGCGCCGGGGGCGCAGAGGGATCATTTGCAAACAGCCGACAGGCTGAGTTAAAAGGCTCCAAGCATGAAGCACCGGCGGAACCACAGGTGCCCGGCACGCATAATTTTTAAATCGACGTAACTGAGTAAGCCGGGCAGGGACCGTCTGCCTAGTCCGGTTTGCCGAAGCTTGCGATGAGTATCACTCCAACCTGACAGTAGGCACAGGAAATCTCGGACGAAGGAGCTTCTGACTTCTCTGAGCGCTGTGCCAGTTGAAGAAAGAAGGCACCAAAGTAGATCATCAGCTGCCGTTGGCCGGTGATCTCGCGGAACCTGATGCTGTCAACAGTGGCGGTACAGGAAAGCGAGGGCCTCTCTCGCAGTCACACTGTCAATGAGGCCCCGGCACAAAGACAGAGAGCAAGCTTGAGACCAATATGGGACCGACAGCATCGAGAGTATATCCCACTGAGTAGCCCAAGTATTTGATGCCTTGGACGCGGCGACTGTGCCGGGCGCGAATGGTGCAGAGCATTGACTCGAAATGGCTGCACTCTCACGCCGTTGCAGACCTAAGCACAGTGCCTTTCATCATGCACGCGAAGCCCACGCCCCATATGCAGCCGCTGGCATATGCAGGCCCAATCACGGACTTCTGCAATTTCACCTGCGAGCATTTCTAAATGAATTACTGTTCGGTCGCACAAGACCTTGTATGTTGCAGTAGTCTCTACAGGAAACTAGGAATCGCTAGTACATCCTCGTATATATTGTACCGAAGTTCACCCAGCAAACTTGGAGAGCAGAAGCGCACATGTGCCAGGTCGATTTGATCCTCTTGGTCCGGGCAGTGGTGATCCCTGTGTTCCCAGTAGCTCTGCTTGCTGCTCTTTTGTGGGTGGCCTACAACTTGTTAACAGCGCGGCCGAGCCACGCCGCGCACCACAGCGACGCTTGAGTACAGCATTAGCAGCACGCCTCAGCGATTGATGCGAAGCGCTTCTGCCAAAGCCGGCTCACTCCAAACATCATGTATCGATAGGTTAGTGCCGGTCTGTTCCATTCCTCTTCAGACATGTCCTAAATTTGGATCTATGCCTTCCTGTCTGACCAGAACTACCGCTTGAGATTCAGATGCAGGATGAACCACGGTGGACATTGCTTCTTCCCTCTGCTTCCAAGGCTCTGGAACATGCCCATATTCCAAAGCATTGCGGCCTGGAGTCAGCTCTAACTGTGCAACATCCTAAGGCTAGAACCTTTGAGGAGCCAGACGGATGAATTCGCCCAGACACTCTCCAACTTCTGCTGAAACTGCACGTCTTCACACATGTAGTGCCGGCAAGGTGCAAAGCAACTGCGAAGGCATGCACATCGGGATGTTCTTTTTCCTTGTAAAAGTGCGGAACTGGACGGCAAGACCCTGCAGATCATGCTGCCGTCAATCTGTCTGCTACCAGGGATCCCAAAGTGTAGCAGGGACTCCTTGAACTCCACAGAGGCCCCCCGCTACCACAGCCAGCAAGACGCCAACCACTTTCCGTGCTCCTCTTCAGGTGTGTGACACAGGCGCACAGTCGGATCCCAACGAATTCTGCGAAGAGATCTTGTTGCAACGACAACGGGTCCTGGACCAAGCGTGTCTAAGGAGGACTTCCGGCGGTTTGGGTCTCTCTGGCTAACCTGCAGGATGAAGTCTGCGAAGCAGTGAAGCGGCATGAAACGGTTCCGACATGAGGCAGCAGACTCTTGGTGTAGCTGAATCAAGATAGTAACAAGCATATCAATGTTACTTTTGTTTAGTCTTAACATTTCTGTTGAGTATCATTACTCGTCTTATCAATGTTGTTGTTATTCTTATCTTAGCTTTATTGTTCTTATTACCATTATCAGTAGTAGTAGTAGTAGTAGTAGTAGTAGTAGTAGTAGTAGTAGTAGTAGTAGTAGTAGTAGTAGTAGTAGTAGTAGTAGTACTAGTACTAGTAGTAGTAGTAGTAGCAGTAATAGCAGTAGTAGTAGGAGTAGCAGGAGCAGTAGTAATAGTCGTCGTTACCACAGCTACTACTACTACTACTACTACTACTACTACTACTACCACTACCACTACCACTACTACTACTACTACTACTACTACTACCACTACTACTACTTCTAGTACTACTAGTACTACTACTAGTACTACTACTACTACTACTACTACTACTACTACTACTACTACTACTACTACTACTACTACTACTACTACTGGTACTGTACTATTACTAGTATGTTTAGTGTTTTTGTCACTATCATTGCTATACTATTATTGCTATCTTTTGTCATTATCAGTATTATTGTTATTACTACTGTTAGTACTACTAGCATCATTACTTTGAACGACTTGGTTATTCAATACTGTTGCTACGTATTAGTGTAGTTGTTCTTGCTACGACTATGACAATTATGATGACGATGATTATTACTGTGATTACTGTCATTGTTATGACTATGATTATGCTTCTCATTTTTATTCAGCTTGATTAATGCATCCCCGGTACCACGGCCTTCCTGGCGGCCACTTGGCGGTTGGAGGGGGCCTCCGAGCGCTGAGAACCAAAAGAGTTCTTCTTCAAGTTTAGGTTTAGGGTTTAATGGTTTCGGGTTTAGGGTTTGGGGTTTAGGGGTGTCCTTCATAACCTGCTTCGTTGCAGCGAAGACACGCCGAAGACTGAGAAGCCGCCCACGGACATGAAGTTCATGTCGCACTCTGCAGCGGTCATCCCCTCGCCTCTGCTAGTTCTTTCCCTGCAGAGCTCATGAGAATAGTCCTTCCCTGCAGAGCTCATGTCAAGAACCGCAATCAGAACCAAGAGTGTCGCAGGCTCGTACATGTGGCTTTTCGAAATTAGGGGACCCTCATACAGTACCCTCAATACATTAGTAGGAGCCTCAATTTTTCAGGACCCCAAATGAGGTACCCCTCTTTTTGGGAAACTCCCACAGCCGAGGCTAAGCTCCACGCTCACCAAGTTCTCGGTCGCGGAAGCTCTGCCTGGGCTGTATCAAACTCTGAGTACCTCCACGGCTGTCCACATCCTAAACTCTGAACCAACCCAAAACGGGTTACAAAAAGAAACCATCTTGCCGAAAAGCTTCAAACCGCAAAGCCCAAAACCCGGCCATTCTGAACCCACAAGGAAACCAAGCCCTATCTTCGCAGTCCGAGTGCTCTCGTCGCTTTGCTCGGAGTCCTCGGAGTCGTCGAGGTCATCACCATGGCCTGCCTGCGCACGTCTCTTCCAAAAAGAGTCAAAAGACGCGAACCAAACGGGTTCTTGTGAATGTAGAAAAACCACATCTAGAACAAACTTCCTATGATCATTGTCTTCCTCCTTTTTCTTACTAGTCTGTGCGTTCTTCCTTCAACTTTTTCTGAGCAGTGTTGTCAGTTGTAAAGCCGTCGTCGTCCTGGTCTTCTCCTCAAGAGATACAACTGTTGGATGGAAGATGATGGTGATGGCGACGATGCTACTAGTGACCCGTGATCAGGGTGAGGATGGGCGAGACGACGACAAATGCTGTAGCAGAACCCGGCTCTGTTACTGAGTGATACTTCAAAGGCTGGTTTGGAAACGACTGCCCTTTTTCCCAGAGACCAGATCATGCCTCGACAAAGACCATGATAAAGAAGGACATCAGGATCAAGAGGCAGCCACCATCGCCTGGACTTCATTCTCCGAGACGGGACATGTCCCTGAAATGGAGAACCCTACTATGCTGCCATATTTGTGTCCCCTGCCCAACCCCATGAAGTACGAGTCTCAGAGCTGTATCCAAAAGTCATGACTGCGTCGCTGCAACTTCCTGCGAATCGGGCGCAATAGATCAGCTCCCCTGTCAACGGGGTCACGCCGAAGAGGCCGAACCGGCCGATGCAGTATCCAACCATCAAGTTCCTTGGATGTCTCTCTTGAGGGTTCGCGTCCCTTCGAAGAGGCTGGCAAAGATGACAGGTGACTAAGTGACTAAGTCTTGCGACACTAGATGCAAACAGTCCTTTGCCTTGGCACTAAGACCGAACAGATATGCATACATGTATACATATATATATATATGGCTCGAGGCCTGAACTTGACCGCTGCGTTTTCGCTGTTTAACTTCGTTCACGAAAACCGAAGCAACACACTACGACGACGACGCGTATCGCATCGTCTTCAAGGGTGGGAGGGTTTTAGGGTTTGGGGGAAGGGTTTGGGTTGTCTTGTGCAGTGGAAGAGAACCAAAACCAAAAAAAAACAAAACAAAAATAACAAAAAAAAAGCAAAAAAAAAAAACAAATTTCAGAAAGTCTTGATCAAGAGTTCGGGATAATGCTACTTACAGAAGACTTTCTGAAAATTGTTTGCTTTAGTGTTTTTGTTTTTTTTGGTTTTGATTTTTTGTTTTTTTTGGTTTTTGTGATTTTGGTTCTCTTCCACTGCACAAGAACGCTGAAGCTCCTTCATCCTTCGGGCGAACTGGACTAGAACTTACCTCTATCACACTCATCTCTATAAATTGCTAATACTACTACTAATGATAATAACAATAGTTATACTAGTGTTAAGACTATTTCAAGTATTTTGAATAATACCACTAACGAAACCGCTCAAATTATCTACTAACTCTAATCAGTATCCGCTGTGTTGATGTTATGCAAGCCGTAAAACAGCAAAAACGCAGCAGATAGATTTCCGCTTTAAACCGGTATTTCATAAGGAAACCGGAATGTCATAGAATATGGGCATTTTATATGAAGTTGTGGTAAAGTCCTTATAAAGTATATATGGATGGGGTTTTCTGTAGGGTAAATATCTTGCTACTCTTCTTGGTTCTGGATTCTCTTCATAGTAATCCTTTGCCCAATAAGCTAGAATTGAAATGGGGGCTCCTCAGATCTTGGGCTCCGAATGGTTTTGCATATTTCAAGTCCCTACCTTCAGTGTACTCTATAGGGTATTCGGGTATTCTGCAGAGGATTATAAGGGGTATCCCAGAAGGTATTCTACAGGCATGCTATATGGTGTGTGTGTGTGTGTATATATATAGTAATTATGCAAGGGGTATAGGCGGTCTCATAGAAGGTATTCTACAGGGTATTCCAGACGGTGTTCTAGAAGGTATATGTAGGCTACATCGGGGGAATTGTGTAAAGTATTGCATAAGGTAGTCCAAAAGCTATTCTATAGGTTATTCCACAATGTGTTGTAGAAGGTATTCTATAGGGTATGTAAAGGGAGATGTTATCAGATATTCTGTTCTCTATGTGTATCCCTTAGGCTTCGATTTGTTCACGGATCCTAGATTCCGCTAGCCTAGAAGGTATATCTAGGTGTTGTTCTAAACCGTGTTCTAACAGGTGTTGTCTAGGTTAGAGGGTGTTCAAACAGCTTTATACAAGGTATGTAGGGGGTTATTCTAGAAGGTCGTACCGTATGTTGTATGAACTCCTTTTTAGGTTTTTAGGAAGGGTAGTCTGTAAGGTATTCTACAGGCTATTCTCTTTTGTCCACAGTGCCATGTTTTGCGCGCACTTCTCGCAGGAAGTTTAGGATGCATACACATACGTGTTCCATCCCATGTGCATGTGCTCAAGAGACACCGTGTTAGCATGGAGGACATCGTACATCATCGACCCTTTTGTTTGAAGCCCAAACGCAGCGGTCAAGTTCAGGCTTTGAACCATATATATATATATATATATGGACACACCCCCCCCATGACCTACCTCGGCCTCTTTTCCATTGTAAATACCGTCAAAACCTTCTCTTGGCAGGGATTCGCGTTTGGCATACGATTCGTGTTTTGCGTAATTTTCGGGGATGATACCTTCTCTATCATGGCTGATGTGAAGTCATGTCTCTTTACAACGTCGTGCCTACTCATGTCCGCTTTCAAATTCATATGCCTGTATTCATAAGCAAGAAACATTAAAAGAAACCATACGATACGACGGCGGAAACCAAAAAACCAAAAATCCAAAAATCCAAAGCCTTTCTGAGGGGCCCGAAACTTTTGGATTTTTTGGTTTTCCTAGGTCTTTTTTGGTTTTTTGGGCTTTGCCTTGGCGAAACCATGGCTTTTTTTGGATTTTCGGTGGAAAACCAAAAAAACACAAGGTTTTTTTGGTTTTTCTGCTGTGTCTCTCGTGAAAAACCAAAAAACACCTGTGTTTTTTTGGATTTCTGCTGGAAAACCAAAAAAAACCTTGGATTTTTTTGGATTTCTGCTGGAAAACCAAAAAAACCTTGGATTTTTTTGGTTTTCTGTTGGAAAACCAAAAAAACCCTAGGAAAACCAAAAAATCCAAAAGTTTCGACCCCCCTGACAAAGGTTTTGGATTTTTGGTTTTTTGGTTTTTTGGATTTTTGGTTCTCGGAGCCTTAGAGCCAATACAGCGCGCAGCATGCTTGATCGGAAATGGTTTCGTTGTTTACGCGCAGTAGTCTTCAGATGTGCATTAGGCATTAGTGTTAGTATTAGTATCTGCGTTCTAGCGTGTTGATTCGTGTTACTGTTAGTGTTGGTGTCAGTGTCAATGTCAATTCCAATGTCAGCGTTAGTATTAGTCTGAATATAAGTCTATACAATAGGTGTACTAATGGTAGTGTTAATGTCTAGTGTGAGTTTTAGTATTCGTATTAGTCTTGGTCTTAGTCTCTGCCTTATTCTTAGTGTTAATATTAACCAGTGTATAGTCTCATAGTCTATGGTAACATTGGAATAGTAGTATACGAGTATATTATTTATTGGTATGTGAAAATACAGATTCTTTGGTACATTGATGTGTCTGTTTTTTGTATTTGGTTTGAACGTGATTATTAGTATTCGTAGGAGCATTAATATTGGTATCAATAGCAGTATCGCTGTTCATACTATGCATAATCGTATTATCTGGAGTATCAAGTGGTAATACTGCTATTCATGTTAGTGTAGGTTTTTTAATGTGAATATAAATACTGAGAATAATTAATAAGACTATGCGCATTAATCTGCGGAGGAACTGTATCACTTATGTGCATATTAGTATTAATGTTAGCATTTGCGTGTATATTGGTAACAAATAAAAATAAAATTACTATCAATATGGGTATGTTTTTTAATATTCGTAGGAACACTAGTATATCGGTATTACTGAAAGTACCCGTCTTCGTAAAAGTATTTGTAATCATACTAATTCATATCAGTACGAGTATTAAGATGAATTATGATGCGCATATGAATACTTTCGAAGGAAATGCTGACCTTAATACGAATACCCATATTAATGTCCTATTATGTATAATCGCAGTAGCCTGAGTATTGGTATGAATATTCGGACAAGTATTAGTATTCCAAACAACTAGTACTATTAGTATTCATATTGAGAACAGTTAATAAGAATATGCGTATTAGTATCCCCAGGAGTGTTAATATTCCCATCAGCACTACTATTCGAATTAGTAGTGCAATTTTTAATACTAGTATTAACCATTAAGCCTATTATGTTATGAACAGTAATATCCTTATTCGTAGGAATAGAAATCTTAGTATCAGTATTAGTATTCGCACTAGTAATAGCTATTATACACATTGGCGCATGAGTAACCTAAGAGCTTCACACAGAATAAACATGTGTGCACATGTAACCCTCATTACGATCCTAGGTAGGATGCACACATCGTTCTGTTTTGGTCCCGTCTTTGGGTTATGCCTATGAGTACATGAACAAAATTAAAAACAGACAATGACAAACACAAAGTTACCCGGCGCATCTAACGATCTTACGTAGGATGTAGACACTGTTCTGTCTTGGTCCTGTCTTCGGGTTATGCCTATGGTCATTATATGACCAGAGTTATGAATATCCGGAACATTTAGGCAGTATCCTATTAAACAATTGCAGGCATTGAAGCTTGCCCAAATCCGCCAACGGCGATGTCGCGCCGTCGTAGGTCATTACAGTGTATTCAGCTATTGATTATACACGATATACGTTTCCATTGTTTATGTATGAGTGTATTTTATCCTAATGGTTTCCTCAAATCCTTACATGTTCTACTACCCATTGCTAGCCGAAGCACCTCGCGGTAGGTCTTGGGGGGGTGTGAGCATATATATATATATATATATATATATACATATATGCATTTATGTGTATGTATGTATATCTGTACACACAAACATACATATATATATATATATACATACATACACATACATGTCTATATATATATATGTATATATTTATATGTATATACATACATAAACATACATTCGTATACATGCACATATGCCTACACAAACTACAGGTACATACATGCAGGTGTATAGATATAGATATAGATATAGATATAGATATAGATATAGACTATATAGATATAGATACAAATATAGACTAATGCTGCGATATTTCGCGCCGGGGCACACGAAGTGGTAGAGCGAGAAGCCCAGGCCAATCCCGAGCAGTTTCACCAGTGGCAAGACAAAGTAGTTGGACATCGCCCAAAGAGCCTCGGACGGCAGGGGTTTAGGATTGAGGGCTTTGTGGTTTCGGGTTTTGGGTTTAGGGCTCAGGGCTTTATGGTTTCGGGTTTAGGGTTTAGGGTTCAGGGGGCTTTATGGTCTCGGGTTTTGGGGTTTAGGGTTCAGGGCTTTATGGTCTCGGGTTTTGGGGTTTGGGGTTCAGGGGTACTTCTCAGAGGTGGGCTCACCTTCCTAGGCGGGTCACTGGCCTCATTTCGTGAGCCTGGAACACAGCAAAATGCTCCCTGGAAAGCCCTGCCACAACTGAGCCCTCCGGCCCCGCCAAAGACGACCAATGGTGGCAATCCGCGGTCCTAGAGATTCCAGAGCAGTCGCGTCAGGGTTTCTGGTAGGTCGCAGAATCCATAATCGGTCTACTCTGGTGCAAAATGTTAGGCATCATTCTGACACCTTCTTGTACAGTTGACGAAACACAATATGCTTGAGTTGCTAGAGTGCGGTCGAGGTTTTCGGCGAGTGCTGCTGCGGGCGTTGCGAGACTTTGCATATTCCAGATCTTAGCTTCGAAGCTCTCACGGCCTGTGGCGGGATGACGGGAGTCGTGAGCTTTCATGAGGCTGCGGCTCCATGGGATCAGTTAGCGGCCACCACATGGTTACAGGCTTAACCAGAGGTCCGGATCCGTGTTTACTCACATTTGCACGGCAGTGAGCCATACATGATAACAGACTATCATGGCAGTATATTGCACAGATAGACGGATAGATAGACAGACGCTCAGGCTGGTCCAGCTCGCCAGCAGAGATAGCGATCACGAAGCCAACCATCAGGATGCCGTTGCACATAAACCACTGGAAGGCGGTCCCTTCCTGAGTAGGGTTGGGGGCTGAGGGTTGAAGGCCGAAGCCTTGACACCCTGAACGCTGCAAGGCATAGCTACAGTGCTTTGAATCGAAGACGGCAAAAGACATCGTAATCCTTAAACCCTAAACCCTCAAACCCTAAACCCTAAACCCTTAAACCCTTAAACCCTAAACCCTTGAGGAGTCCTGAGATTTGGGATTCGAGGCCCTCGGCCGGTCGGAGCGAACCCTGAAAGCGTGACAGCTGAGCTCCGGTCAAAGATCTCGTACTTCTTGACCTAGGATTCAACATGTTGGGGTTTGGGTTCAGGGTCCAGGGTCCCTGACAGCCATGCCTTAAGTGCAGGACCTCTCTATTCACGACGAAAAGGGGGCCCTACCGAAAAACGTAGGCGAAGTAGGCTTACCCTAAGGGTCCAAGTATATACTATTTCAGTACACGGACCCTTAGGGTGAAGGATAGATGAAGGGCCAATCCGTTAGGACGCGAGCCTAGTGCACCGGAAGCCTGGAAAAGGTGCTTCAAAGGAACGGCATCTTTTGCCCCTCCCCCCATTTTCTAAACTCCTATGAGAAAAAACCTGAGGTAAGTCCGATTCCGACCAAACTCACAACGTTGAAGACCCCTACAGATGGATCCCTGCAAATCGCGACAAAAACACTCGACCCTGATCCCTTGACCCCACCACCGGAAGGCTATAACAGTTGAAGCTGAGAGTGGCCGGTACATACTGGATGCCGAAGGCGATGGCCGCAATTAGTGCGAAGAGAAGACCCAGGGCACTGTCGCTGGCCATGGCGCCCGCGCGAAGAGGGAGTAGTAGCTTTACACTTGAGGGTCTGGGGGTTTGTTGCAGTAGGCTTTATGGTTGCATGAGTGTGCCTTTTTTTGCTCTACTTAACTACAGTGTGTTTCAGCTGTAAGCGCGATCAACATACGAGTACCGCATACTGAAGGCACATATTCGCATCATACGGCATCTGGCCACGCGTTGTAGTAGTTTAGGCTAGCCTAGTTACAGCTGTTACAAATGCTGCAACAAGTTATGCTAGCGCAGAACATCAGATTGGTCTGATCAGCCTTCTTATGCATGGGGATCAGCATCTGAGGTGCCACCTGCTCGGGACGTCTAAAGCAGCTCTTAGCCGGGACATGCTGAAGTGGCTCATCATGCATGTGCCTCTGCCACGCAAGCCACGCGGCTGCAAGTTGGGACAGTTGGACCATCTCGAGGTGAGGTTCAAAAGGAGCGCCGTAAAAGCACTTCTCTCGTTTAGTTCCATGATCGTGGAGAACTCAGGCGGCGACCGGTGCTGCTGGCGTAGTGTTGACTTGGCAAGCTCCTGCTTAGTGCTTCGGCTTAAACTCACAGTCATTCTACGCCTCAAACTTGGGTACATGCGGAACTGTACAAAAGGGGCGACATAGGCGAGCAGTCCTCTGGAGCATGGCAAAGTAGATGAGGAAACACCTTGCTGCATGAGAACTGGCCACAGGCTTCAAAGGGTTTCACTTCGTGAGCATCACTGCACAAATCCATGGACCAAACGATGGCAAATGCCAGCCCGAGACACGAGCTGAACCCGATCAAAATCATTGCTTCCAGCTCAAGTCAACTACAAATCACGAACAAGCCGCGAGAGCTAAATAAATCTTTCAGGCCATCTCATCCAACCGCCAAACCAAACCTCCACCCTCGAGTTCTCTCTGGCTGGTGCCGGTGAGGCGGTCGGCCAACGAGGAAACGGGTGCGGCCGCCCCTGCCAATGCCCATCACGACTCTGCGGTGGGAGCACCCATTCGGGCCACCCTAATATGGTACCCTGAATAGTAGGATCATTATAATAAGGACCCCAAAATGAGGTACGCCTAATTTTCGGAAACTCCCATCTAACCCTACCTACTCTGTTCTTACTGAGCCACAGCTTCCTTTGGAGGCTGCTCGACACTGCGGCTTGTGGACCCAGTTTTGATTCTGGGTCTCTTTTGAGATCAAGGGCATTGACATGGCTCTTTCGACCGAGACACGCCCTGGGAGATTCCGAAAAGGAGGAACTCCAATATGGACCCAAGATCCTAGCAAAGACAAGCTGAATAAGGAGCCCCAATTTTCTGAAAGCCCATCCCAAGTTGCTGCCTGGCCATTCCGGGAGACTTGCGGGCAGGGAGCGCAGCTCCGAGGGCGTGGTGGGTCGCAGCTTCCCGCAACTTGCACAGAACAGGGCCCCCTCCGGCTCGTACCTGGTCTGAGTTCTTAGGGTAGTTTAGGGTTTAGGGTATGACTTCTCAGTGCTGAAGTAGAATGTTACGGCACCTGCCGTGTGATAATGGGTACCGTTACCACGTGTAGTAGCACGGCTAGGTCGTAGTAGTTTTCACATCTTTAAAATCCCGCGAACAGGCATACGAAGCTGGAGCACCTTTGTGTGCAGTACTCATGCAAACTTGCGGAATCATACCTTTCACAGACAAGCAGGCAGCATGCATCTCGAGAGCCTCAAGCACAAACGGGTACAGTGCTATTGCCCACAGTGTAAGGGGTGTAACAAACATGAGCTCGGTTGGCAGACTCGAACTCTCATGGAGGGTCCTGATGGCAGGCCAGAAGGGGGTTTAAGATTCTTGGGGTAGGGATTCCTTAATAGGAACCCTATGATGGGAACCCTAATCCCTACTAAACCCCCTAGAGGTCCAGAAAGAGCCTGAGGCTTCTGCGGGGTACCGCAATAAGGGCAATTGGGCGAGGCAGCCGGCGGCGGCTCTGCCTGATTCTTAGGTACGGAAAGTGCGTCGAACCGGTGCTCTTTGGGGGAGCCTTGCCGGAACGTATACCTTTTGGGGGGATTCTTGCTGGAACGCAAATCTGCTTCTCGTCACCACTATGTGATTTTGCATTGGCGATGGGCCGTTTGAGAGATGATAGTGATAGTGGCAATTGCCCTGATGCAGTAAGCACTGCGACATAAAGCGCGCCAGTGCTCACATCATTCCTTCACAGAAAGATCACGAAACTCGATTTTTCTCCCAAACCTGCAATTTGGCTTCCGGGCTCCTGACCACGGGAGCTTGCGGCTGGCTTCTCACTGGCCATGGCGACACCGGAAGGCCTGCACATTATGAACGAGTTTGGGGTTTCTTTCGGTTTAGGGTCTAGGATGGTTCAGGCTTACCCACTGGTAGGGGGCTCTGCGTGTTCGCTGCGTGCAGCAAGTGGGTCCTATCTTCAGTCGTCGGAAAAGTGCACGGAGGCCGATTTGCCTGTGGATGCAAGCGACGGCGCTTTGCCTGACAATGGATGGAACCAAAGGTTACTTGAAATAGGTTGTTTAAGACGAAGACAAACGAGACAAGAAGAAGAAAAACGAGACAACACTAATGCAGAAAGAATGCAGCAGAAATAAGAAGAAGAGGAACGACAGTTGTCAGCGGATTGCTTTCCACCGAATTGTCAGGAGGAGCTTGACAACACTGGGGACGGCTAACATCTGCAACGATGGGAGAGAATGCTGCGGCCCGACGTCTTCGGCCCGACGCCGTCTGGAACAGGCCAGCGATGCTCATCACCCCCGACAGTCTAAATGGACCTACGCTCTCGTCTTCAACCTCGTCCGTCAAGGCACAAAGCCATAAGAGCCCTCAACCAAAGCCAAATGGAACTTTCCGGAAATAGGATCCTTATTATGAGGGTCCCAAAATAAGGTACCCCTTATTTTCGGAAACTCCCAGATACCCCGAAGCCCACACCCCAGACTCGCTCTGGGCTCGGCTCCTGCATCCGGCACGATGGGCTCTGCCGGGGCCGAAGGCGGAGCTGGGCCGCAGAGGTTCGGCTCTTCCACTCTCAGGGTTCCCTTTTTGGGGGTTTGGCAAGAGCCATGGATGAAGGCCCCAGCGACTCCTTCATGCAACTCCTCGCATCCCAAAGTCCCCGGGCGAAGAAAAACTTGCACCTGGTCCCGAGCCTGAAATCTGACCGCACCTCCCTCCCACAACCGAAGCCGAATCGACGGTAGATGGGCCTAGTGCCGCCGGGACCGATGGCAGCTCTGGGGCCGGGTAGCCTCGCATTTCAAATCTTGGAGATGGGGCACAGACGGAAGAGAACCAAAGAGGCCCCGAAGCTGCTTCCTGCTCAGAAATCATGCACCCTCTGAAGCTTCTAGTGCAGATCGATGCCCCTCGGCAGTTCATGGACCTGACGTGCCTGGGCCCTGTCCATGCGACAGCTGCCCTGCTCCTGGAAGATTCGAGTTTGGGGTTTAGGGGGCTTCGAACGGCTATGTTGGATCGAGTGCATTGCACTTGGTGTTTGGGGCTGGGAAGCGAAATCAAGCAGCGATGAGCTGCATCTTTCTCAACTTCCCTTCCGTACCCACAGATGCTGCGTCACTGAGCTCTCCAGATCTCTTCCTGGTCTTTTCGTATCTCATTACACTGGAGAGCATGCATTATACGTGCCAGCTTCCGAAGGAAGAGGAGCTAGTCCAAGCAAGCATCTGAAACACTCCGGAGAAAAACTTTCCTAGATCTTGAACCACCTCGAAGCCTCTAGGTGAAATTCCACTTTCCGAAAGCCACGCCCCGATGCAGTTTTGGGTCGCGCCTAGAAGCTCCAGTCTGGTTGGCTGCCATGCACGCAGCCAGCAACCCTCTCCCGGCACAAATATTCCCAAAACCCCAACTCCCCGCCAAGAACCACAAACTCCAAATACCAATCTCACGGCCTCAAGGCAGGAGACTCTCGGAAGACCCGAAGGAGCTCAGATTTGGCTGGGGCTCCGGCTACCGACATCACCCAATGCGTACTGCAGCCGCGACACCTGACCAGTGTTGCTATGACTGTTCTTCTTTCTGACCACTACCCACTGATAGCATGCTGACAAAAATCAGTATTGCACATCATTCGTTAGAAGTGCCTCTGTTGCGAGATGCCATTACTTTGATTACAGTTGATACAAGCCTGGTTGTCCAAGAGAGACCTTCGGATCCTGGAAAATTCGAGTTGGCAAGTATCTGTGGAGCCTAGCACCACATCCCGGAGCTGAAACATGAAGATCGCACCCTATCTAGAATGAAGCATGACCGAGCAAGCTCCTAGAGAGCGACTGCCGTCTTCAGGCTCGTCTGAGTTCTGTTATAACAGGACTATGCGAAATACAAGACAGAAAACTCGCGACTTCGTAAAGGTGTCAAGAACAACATATTACATGTTCGCCTCGCCAGCAAGCGTCGCCAACTTCTCGACAGTCTGCTCCTGCATGGCACATTCACATGCTGAAGTAAACTAACGGGAAGTCTCACACCACCACGACCTGGAAACCCTCATCCGGGGGCGCCTGGAGGTATCGCGGCAGTTGGTGAAGGTTGAACACCCTGGGAGTCAAGGCACAAACACGCTCCATGAGCTGCCGTGAGCTTGAAGCGCAGAAACAAGGTGACACTTCAGAAGCATCACTGAGGAATAAATGTAAGGACGGAAAGGACAAAAACACAGACGACGTATGCGCAGCATGCAATGGTCACCAAACTGTAGCACTGAAGGTACTGATGCGTTTCTGTATGATGGTATATACCGAAACATGATTGCTCTACGTAAAAGGAGGACGACAGGGACATCCAACATGGAAAGACACATCAGCAACTTAGCAACAGCAGACGAAAAGGAAAGGAAGGAACGACAGAGATACAACCAACTACGGTATGCTCAGGTGCGTACAACTGACTGCAAGAACTGTAAACACCTTCGCGCAAGGCATTAGATGATTTAAGGGCAATGGTGCTGAATCAACGAAGATACGTTATCAGATTGGCGACATGGAATGTTGCCGCTGCAATACCATGCAGCGAAATAATATCATAGAACATATTATGTGTATGTATATATATATACACACAGGTATTTATATGTACAGACACATGTCTGTATATGTATATACACATATATGTGTATACTCCGGCATATACACACACATGGGACTGTCAACAACAAACAGAATGAAGAACTCCACAATGGCTCGTCACTCCACATCGAATCCCTACGGCCTGAAGTAGGGCCGTGGATGCTGCAAAGCTCGCTTGAAGTCCAGAGGAGAAACAAGGATGCCTTCCTGCAGCAACTGAGATGGTTCATCTTCCACACTTTACCACTGCCACTGTCACTGACACAACCAAAGCCACAATCACCGCTCCATCCATTCCTAACAGTAACCAGCAACCGCTATTATAATTACTACTACTACTACTACCACCACAACCACGACCACGACCACTACAAACATACTATCACTACGACTTCCACACCGCAAACTGCTGCTACTACTACTACTACTACTGCTACTACTGCTACTGCTACTGCTACTGCTACTGCTACTATTACTACTGCTGCTGCTGCTACTACTACTACTACCACTACCACTACCACTACCACTACCACTACCACTACCACTACCACTACCACTACCACTACCACTACTACTACTACTACTACTACTACTACTAGTACTACTACTACTACTACTACTACTACTACTACTACTACTACTACACCACCACCACCACTACCACTACCACAAACTCCTGCTGCTGCTGCTGCTACTACTACTACTACTACTGCTACTACCACTACCACGACTCCTCCTACTCCGACTCTGATTCCGACCACGACTGCGACCGCGACGGCGACTGCGACGGCTGCTGCTACTGCTCCTGCTCCTGCTCCTGCTCCTGCTCTCGCTCCTGCAGCTGCTGCTGCTACTGCTGCTACTCACTCATCATGCTACAGGATCCAAGGAACGGTGATGAGATTGAAAGGTGTCTCGAGGCAACCAAAGGTTGTGCGACTTCCGCCGGGTCGAACGACTCGCTCTACAACCAACAACCGACGCTTGGTGGACAGACATTCCGCTGCGCTCGAAGCTCGAAGCTGCTGCTGCTGCTGCCGCTGCTGTTGCTGGTGCTATAACATCGCGAGTGGTTTCTGGAGCTGGGGTTCCGGCATCATCGAACACTGCCTGCTCGTCGAAGGGCACGTTGAAGTAGTGGTTGATGTTCTGGCATTCACACATTGCATTGCGATCTTTGCAAGAGCGACTGGCCGTGTGCGTGATGCATCTAGGAGCTGGGATCGGAAACCTGTGATCCTTGGAATGGACGAGAGGGGAGCTGGTGCTTCTCTGAGCGCAGTGTTTCAAAAGAAAAATGCACCGGATCATCATCGTGGATCAACAGGAAGCTTGAATGGCGGAAGAGCCACAGCTTTCCGCCTTCGGTTCTGCTCTGTTCGTGGAGCAGAACGCAACCTCAGCCGGCCTCTGGCTTGGATCTGTCGCAGTTACCAGCGAAATTCCGCTGCGATGCGGGCCAAAGGATGGAAGCTCGAGAAGATGCTAAACCTCGTTTGCCTTGCCAGTTGCTGGTTGCCTTGTCACACTTTGCGCAGATCCCACGAGACACAGGATATCCTCGGCAGACTAAGGAGACCTTGCATCTCGCAGCGCCTTCGTTTGATGTCATTCCGCAGTTTCATCCAGTCGGTCAATTCGGTCGAGACTGTAGCGGTTTTTGGCATTCCCACCACTGTATCCTGGAAGGAGGGGGGCTTCCTACCCCTCTGCAGGAAATCGCAACAGGTCAAGAGTGGTTTGAAGTGGACAGATATACGTGCACTCAGACTCTGCGCAGAATTAAGTTGCTGTCTTTTCCACAAGGACACACTCGAACTTCTTTCATTAAGCATGGCTGTTGCGAACCGAAGCATGGGCACGAGTATCCTTTGTGCTGCAAGACCTTCACCGCAGGCTACAGTCTGCGCGGACTTACCAAATCTTGGCTGCATTGGCGCCTCCTTTAACGTGCTTGCAAACTCCTCGGACTGGATCAGAGACCCCATGTCATCCAGGCTGAACCAGTCGTACGGCTGGCCCTGCAAGGAAAAAGCAAAAACCCGGGAGCTTACCCAAACCATAACAGCGTGCAGGCATTCAGAGCGCAAGCACTCATGATTCACTGATTTCATGTTGCGACCTCGTGCACATCAAACCCCCGACTCGGCATCGAAACCCTACACCCCAACCCTGAGCCCGAAACCCCCATCTCTAAACCTCGAAACCCCAAAACGAAAATGTTGCGCCCTGAGAGCTGGCCTTGAATTCCACTCTTAGCATCCTCTCCTTCCCCGGTGATGCTGCATCCGGCGAAACAGCAGCACTGGCACGGGATCGCACGAGGAATGTATGACACAATATCTGATCTCACAGAATGACGGGCGGGGATATGTATGCATGTACGTACGTAGGTACGTATCGATGTGTACGCAGAAGTAGAAGTCTATGTGTATCTGCATAACTATAAAGCTAACTCCCTATCTAACTATCTATCTACCTGTTTATCAAATTTCCTATCTATGCATATGTGCATGTGTATGTGTCTGTGTATGTGCATGTGAAAGTGTATGTGTATGGTATGTGTATGCGTGAGTGTGTGCGTGTGTGCATGTCTATGTCTATGCTTATCTGTCTGTCTATCTGTGCACCTATCGATCTATCGATTCATCCATGAATTATACTTATGCACCTCTATCACCATCTTTCATTCTATCTATCCTGCTGTCTGTCTATCCATCTATCCTCCTATGAATCATTCTGTCTCTCTCGCTCTTTCTCTCTCTCTCTCTCTCTCTCTCTCTTTTTTCTTTCGCCAGGGTTGTGGTGCAGGGGCTTTACCCCCTACACCGCGCGCGTTCGCGCCCCCGACTGTTGCGGGACGCCTGTGTTGCAAGAAAAGTGCCATCGGCACGAAAGGTAGAAGTTGTTCAGCTTCCCTCGGCAACTGGATGAAACAGGAAAGGACTACCAGGTCAAGTAGGACGTACCCTAGGAGCGATTACAATTCGGTTGCCGATCGTAGGGGTTATTCCCCTGTGGAGCTGGGCTCCCGGTTTCCCCTGAGTTCGTAAAGGGGGAGATGTAAGATGCGGAACACTACACAAGAGCTTCTCTCTCTCTCTGTGTCCGTCCGTCCGTCCGTCGATCAATGATCTCTCTGTCTATGTATCTAATTACAAGCACGTAACTGTGTTTGTACGTATGTATGTATGTACGTATGGACGCATGTATGTATTCACACGTGTGCGCACGTGCGTGCACGTGTGTATGTATGTCCGTATAAGTATGTACACATACACATACACGTACACGTACACGTGCACGTACACATACGCATACACACATGCATACACATACATACACATACATACACACATACATACACACGTACACATACACATACACCCAAACATACACATACATACACATACATACACACACAGACCCCTACATGCACATACATACACATACATACACATACATACGCATACATATACATACATACACATACATACACATACATACACATTCATACACATGCATACATACGCAATCATACACATACATACACACAAATCCGCACATGCGCTTAAACACGTCTCTAAATGGAAGTGTTCATAGAAGTATGCACAGACATACACCTGCATATACATCTGATTCAGGGTTTGCATCTACGTATATACTGTACCTATGCTTGTACATGTGCCTATGATTGCATATACATACATGTACACGTGCATACGCATCTGCATACACATGCATATGCGTATACATATGCAGACAATACGTTTGGATATATATATATATATATATGTGTGTGTGTGTGTATATGTATGTATGTATGTATGTATGTATGTATGTATGTATGTATGATGTATGTACGTATGTATATGTGTGTATGCACCGATGTAGCTATGACTGTGTGCATGTTCATGTATGTCTGCTGCTGCATATGCAGAGTATGCATACATGCTGGACTGGTAATGAGGCGGATTTTTCGAACAACTCTCGTACATACAAAGCATGTATCAACACGTGTGGAGAAATATGGCGAACCTCTGGCAAGCTTGTACTCACCGGCCACAGCCTGGGTGACGTCATGACCAGCGTTGGGTAGGCCTCACCTTGCCAGACGGCCGTTCGGTCTCAAGCTAAGATTGCATCCATGAGCAAAAAGTCGTAGTCGCTGCTGCAGGACATCACGATGCTTACTGCTCTGTTGTCATCCTGATAACATCTGATAACTATGATGGTAAGCATCATTATCACAGTTGTTCATTGGGACCACTTCATCAATTAAGTCGACCATCTGATCCATGTTACAAACATTACCTTTGTTACGCTGCACGGTCGCCCTCATGCTCATAAGCACTACCATCGATGCCCCGTCAGCGAAAGGGAGGGTGCGAAGAGTTTTGGCTTGCCTTCTGGTGATGACGCATGTTCACAAGCAGAACCACTCCCAAATCCAAGTCGTTGGCAGGTGATGCTCTGAGGCTGGTACCGGCCAGGCAGGAGGTCGGTCCAGAATGTGCTACATGTCCGGATGGAGGCTTGAATCTTAGGAGTTTCTGGAAAGCTTGCGCAAGAGTGTCAGGTCCTCTAGGCCTTGCTGGTCACCTAAGAGGCACTGGCCAACACTGTGTGCTTCGCGCGGCTCGGGTGGCCACTCTGACATTCCGTGTCCAATGAAAGGATCTCTTGGATGGCTCAGCAGCTTTCCGGTAGGCCTGACAGTGTCTCCAGATCTTGGCTTACACCGTTTGGGCGCTGCAAGGGGCAGGCCTGTAAGCCAATGATTGACATTGCTTTCTGATCGAAAACTTGTGCAGGCGTTCGTAGTGCCAATGCCTAAGCAGTCGAGTTGCCTGCGCGGCTCTGGAAATGATCTTGCGGATGTGCGGAAAAATCTTTGTCCGGACAGGATCTGTGCTTCGGCTAAGGTCGTAAAGAGAGGCTGTGACCAGGCATCTACCTCAGGCAGAGCCTCAAATCACAAGCTCTAAAACGGCATCACCCTGAACCCAAAGTTGGACCACTCCTCCGCTGCTACGCCATCTTTAGCAACACCAAACGATACACCAAAGACTTACGGAATCACACAGGCACCTGTCTTTCTTACCCCATAACCCTAAACCCTAAACCCTGGACTACCCTAAACTCTAGTCCGCTTCTGCTGGGTTCAGGCCGTGCCGCATCAGACCGGGCTGGCCTGGAAGGAGGGCCTCTAAGCAGTGAGACGCATGGTAACCGGGGCGATGCTCTCATTTCCACAGAAAGGGGTTTAGGGTTTAGGTTTAGGGTTTAGGGAGTCTTTGGTGGACTGTGTCTGCCAGTGTCTGTCTGTGTTTGGCTCTCAATCTCCGTCTGCCTCTGTGTGCGATGCTGCTGCAATCCAGTTCGGCTACGTCCCTGTCGGCCGGCCATCCACCTACCTTTGGTTAGTAGGAATGGAGGACCGGGTACTATTATATTATAACTACTATAACTACCATTCTTCCATTCCCTACTAACCAAAGGAAAGTCTACCATATCTCCGTGCCCTCAGACTTTGCCAGCAGCTCGAAGCAAGCTGCCTCGCTTGGCCGCCGAAGTACCTTTGGCTCGGTCTTAACCTCAAACAGCACCACTGTAGCCCCCATGAATGAGCTGAACCGTATCCAGGATGCATTTTGGGGTCAACTGCTGTGACCGAAGGCTCCGAAAACAGTGTCTTTTAGCGTCTCGCGTTAGTTTCTCCTAGACACAATGTGTTGCCTCAGTCGCCAGTGGAATGAAAACTTATCTGCGTAGCTCCACCCTCCTCCATTTCGCCTGACACTCGAAACGAACAAGCCGAGGGTACCAGTCCCGATCCAGATTCTACGCGCAGAAATCCTACGACTGCCGACCTCTTGCTTAAGCTGAACTCCCGCGATCCGCGTCTCGTCGTCCTCTGCAATCGTAGCAAATCGAAAGAAAGACTTGAAACAGAGTATGGAGTTTAACATTTAAAGAGCCGTTTCAGTATATTGCATTCTATGAACGTATATTCCATTGTATGTACTATAAGAATAGCGATGAGTATTATTATTCTCGGAACCTTCGGGCGAAAATGCCGAGCACACCGAGGACCTGGCTCTTCAGGTTCTTCGCTCCGGCGACCTCACCGGAGGCTGAGGCCAGCATTGAGGATTTATACCGCTTGTTGAGAAGAAAAGGTTATTGTGCTTATATGTGTTTTGTTGCACCCCCTTTCCGTCTGCATGACGGTCTCACGTATCCGGAACGCCTTACAGGCTGAGGCAATGGTACGGGACCGATTTGGGTTATTGTGCTTTCGGGCTTTAGGTTTAGGGTGCACATGGGCCTCAAGCATGGGTATTGCACGGGTTGTGGAAGACTGTCGTCCGGGGGTCTGGGGCTTGGGCTTTGGATTCTATGTGTCTGCAAGATTGTAGACGTCCAGCACCTGGCCTGGTCGGATAGCTCTCGGAGATGTTGTACTACTGATGTATTGAAACCCGTGCGTAGAGCTGAATAACAGGATATGAACCCAGATATGCAATAGCAGCATAGCATTTAAGATTTGGCATCTTTTACCTCATTGTTGTATATCATCACATGCTGTCAATCATGGTACTGGACAATGTCAGATTATTCGCCGGGTATACCGCTAGCCCTAGGCTACCGTATGTGTGATTCGAGCACAAGCATCCCCTCATAGGGGAGTTTCCGAAAATTATGGGACCCTAATATAATCCCGTTTTGCGCCTCGCTTGGTCGAAGTGTCCCGGAAACGTTAAAAGTCTCAAAGTCGGCCGCCTGCCCAGCTGCACGCCGCAGCAACACACGGGGAACCCTAGAGGTCAGGGGCCTAAACCACTAAACCCACTAGGGAACTGCGTCAGTCGGACGACTGAGAGAGAAGGAAACAGAAGCCTGAGAAGGCGAAGCTGAGATTTCCGGCCGGGCGGGAGTGGAGGGAGCCGGAAAGATCTGCGAGGGTCTCCTGTGCTTCGGCAGTTCGGGATAGTGAGCATCCCGTTTTGCGCCTCGCTTGGTCGAAGTGTCCCGGAAACGTTAAAAGTCTCAAAGTCGGCCGCCTGCCCAGCTGCACGCCGCAGCAACACACGGGGAACCCTAGAGGTCAGGGGCCTAAACCACTAAACCCACTAGGGAACTGCGTCAGTCGGACGACTGAGAGAGAAGGAAACAGAAGCCTGAGAAGGCGAAGCTGAGATTTCCACCTCCAGAATCCTTGAGCGAAGCTCACAGGTGAGTGCCCTGAAGCGACCAAAGCATGAGACGTCGCGCGTACGATCGCAAGACAGCGATCCGGGCACGAGCGGAAGCCGGCAGCTGTTGGAGCAACAACTGAGCTGCAACTTCCTGAAGGTAAAATTCTAGAGTCTTAACTTTACTCCAACGACCCCGCCAAGCGACTAAACCTAAATCCTCGGTTTCCTGATAAAGGTATGTGGCTCCGCTCCCTCGGAGCACGCCCGGCGTCGCCCCACGAGCTGCCTGACGGCAAGGGACGCCGAGATGAGACATGATAGCATCCCATTGGCGACGATACGTATGCAGTGAGCCACGGAACAGCCGAGCTTCGAAAGGAAGGTGGGCATATCTTGCTGTCAAAATATCTAAAACAAAGCGGTCCTCCAGTCTGCTGTGTTGGCGGCGAGCGAAGCGCGCCGTTTTGGGATTTCTGACATGGACGAATGCCACAGCGTCCTCCGGCATAGCATCTTGAGGCAGCACCAAGTCACTGCGGACCAAAGGTATCATCTCGGACGGGTGCAACATGCACAGGAAATTTATTAGGGTAACTGATGCCCAGTCCGACCAGCCCCACAAAAGAGCCACCGAGATGGCAGCCTGCACAATCGGAAGCGAGATCACCGGACGACACTCGCCAGGTTCAACTGCTTGCCACTTTTTGTCAATCTGCCAGGCCGGAGTGAGATGAGCACGGAACTCCGGCTTCAAGTCAGCGACTGCCGTAATCGCGTAGACCAGCAGATAGCGAGGCATCCCGGTTTTGTACAGGTGCAGCCCGTAGGCCCTCAGAGCTAAGGCGGCAGCCGACACCTCCGACAGCACTGTTAAGAGCGACAGGCCAAACTCAACCAACAGCCAACGGGAGAAGCCCTCCAGGCACTTGGCCATTTTGTGGCGAGTCGACGAAGCAAAGCCTGCCTGCAGGTCGAGCTCCCCACGTGGCTGGAGCGGCGGCGGGCCGGGGTTCCTCTCAATGTCGCCACCGAGAAGAAGCAACAGTCGGAGCCAGCGCGCAGCCTGCTTTGGAACTCTCGAAGATGGCGTAACAACGTCGAAACGAAAAGAGTCGCCAGCGATCAGATCTCGCAGCCAAGGAGGCCGTTCACGCGAAGGCGAGGGGACACTCCGATTTCTCGAAGGGCCGTCGGCCGCGTTGTCCCCCGAGTAAACATGTAGACCACCTGGGTAGAGCCCGCCGCCCAACACGTATGGCAAAGAGGACTGCAAAACCTGGCACGGTGCTGGACTACTCGACCGGCCCTTTGCAGAAGCCCCGAGAAGAACCCGGCTATCAATGAGCCCAAGCAACCTGCTCCGCGGATGGCGGCGCGAGCACCACTTCAACCACGTCTTGTACGTGCGCGTTTCTTGCACATTTATGTGACCGCGCTTTCGGAAACGGAAGCGAAGCAGCTCAACGAAAGGAAGAGATCGCGCAAGCTCACAGATCCACTCTGGGTCTTCATGGAAAGGCCGGGAGTCTAGGGAAACCGCAGTAGGGGGACAGGAGGACACTAAACCACCTAGGCCTAAGAGGTCGAGGGTTTCGAATGTCGCGGAGCACGGCATAGGCCGACCGATCCCATCACGCGCAAGTCTGCTGCCGGCCGACATCATGTGCACAAGTGCCACAGGGTACGTGGCCGCAAAGTCAGACACGGAGTCTCCCACGCAAGGCGCGCCGCCAAAGATGCTCTCGACGCTCGGCGAACACTGTGCGCTGAGACAATCAACTCCTTCAGTAGTGAAAGAGCCAGTCGAGTCGGAGTGCACGCGGCTCCCAGAGCAGCTGCACGGGGCTGCCAACTTAACCAACCAGGGTTTATTGTGAAACCAAAGGCTGGCACGTTTAAAGGGAGAACCGAAGCTGCAGTGGCACAAAGGCGTCAGCACGGCACCCAAACTCACAAGTCGCTGGAAGCAGTCCAGGCGTAGCAGAGGGCTGCCGACCGGCTGCTCAATACTGAAAAAGCAACCTGAAGTGAGAACCAGAGACATCAGAAAGCCTAGGCGGCGCCCGAGGCGCAACTCAGTAGCTTCACGACACAAGTCACAAGAGAAGCACCTGGGGCCAGCGTGCCATCCACGAATGACCCTCCGCAGCGCCAAAGCGCGTAGCTCACCAAAGAAAGCCGCGTCAGACAGGTCCCCCACGCAGCCCGTCACGAGTCGCCCACTGTCAGCCGAGACTGGAAAAAGCGTGAGCCCAGCAGCAGCATGCGCAACCGACCAATTGCGCTGACTGGTAAAGACTTCGATGCAATCCCAGAGAAAGCCCTCCGACAGGGAGCGCTGCAAAGGAAAAAGTTCGGAATGGAACTTCGGAGGCTCAGCTCCAAAAGCAGGTTCACTGTCCAATCCAAGGGTTTCCAGAAGTGCCCCAGCTGGGTTTTGAAGCTTTGTGTAGAAACCTTTCTGCTCGCTGTGACGCCAAAGCTCCTGAACCGCATGAGCGGGCAAAGGAGCACTGCATAGGCCACCTCCGTCGGGAGAGGCGTCCATGCAAAAGACAGCAGGGCAAAATGAAGCACGGATATCCGAAGACAGCAATGGCGCAACGACCGCCAAAGCGATTAGTTCATTCACGGTTTCGCGAGCCAATCGGAACACCACATGGTCCGGTGAGCGGGCTGCGTCAGCAAACACGTGATTCAACAGCGCCAGAGCAGGCCTGCGGAACATGACCACGTGAATCCAGAGGCCGACCACCGAACTGAGCAGAGCCCCGGAGGCAAAGCCACGACGCGCGATGGCCAAAGTGAGAACCATGAGGACGGCCACTCGATGCCGGGGCGCTCCTACAAACCCACCGATGCCATCCACTTCTGCACCGAGGTAAACCCCTTGGGTCTCATACCGACGGCGCTTCTTCGGATGCTGCACCATGCCCGCTGTGATGTAGGCGCCCTCCGACGCTGCAAAAATCTCCGAGTCTCGGCAAGGAAGTTTGCGCTTCAATTGATCACGAGAGCAGACTTGAGCGGTCACATGATCGTCTATGGCTAAGAGTTCAATGCAGCGAGAGCGCGGAAACGGTAGCCTATAGGCTACAAACTCATCGGGACGTACAGCGTGAGCTAAGCTGTAAAGTACATTATAATGGGACTGCTGAGCGAATTCTACAGCATGAATGTCACCCATGGCTAAAGCATTAAGACCGAGATACACATGCGAAGTGTGAATGCAAGGGTCGTAACATGAAAAGTGCTTGATCTCATCAGGGCGAAATTTCATGCGCACACAATTCCTCAAGGCTCGAGCTCTGGGAACGCGGATCGTATAATAGAATTCGCTGAGATCATCAGCGCACATCCTCAAGAACTGTTCAGCTGGCAACGCAACCAAGGTGAGAAGAGAGCCTGGGGAAAGCAGCTTTGTGAAGTTACTGTAGGGAACGGCCCTAGCATTAGCTACACTCGGGTTGATGATAAGCCTATCAAAGTGGGCATCTTTAGTGATGGCGAAAATCCCCACTGCAGCATCATGGTCAACTTCGGTGCAAGGGAAAAGGCTCAGCGCCTTGTGGGCATCCCACTTCCGGGCGAGCCGAAGCAATTCCTGACGAGTGCAATGTACTTTGGCAGGCTTAGCGGAAGGCTGGGATTCAAGAGGTCGGTCGAAACAAGTGGGTTCAAGGAACAAAGCCTTGGTTGCTCGATCACTCAAGAATGGCAAAGGATCAAAGGAAGGAGGCAGTGACCACTTTATCCGATCGGCTTTCACCGGTTTACAGGACACTGCTGGATCGGCCCCTGGACTTGTGTGCTCGTGGAGTTGCTTCTGAGGGCCAACCAGGGTCCGTTCCAGGCCATCCGGTCTTTAGGCAGAGTCGGCCTTAAAGGCCCATTGCAAAGGTCGGGGGGCTCAGAGGGTTCCGGATGCTGCCTAAACCCCGAATCCCGAGAATATCCATCCCAACCTACTTGCAATTCGGAAACTAATTCATGCGTCAGGCGGTCCACACACTCAAGTGACCCCGAATGGCAAACTTGAGGTAGTTCCAAAGCCCGAGAGAGCAACAACCTGAATTTTTCCTTCACTACGGCCAAGGCTGTCAGGCGTGAAGTCGCCGCACCGAGCAAAGTAAGAGGCATGATGCTCGATCACTTCCAAAACGCTCTGGTGCGCGGCAAACTCACTGACGCGGGCGCGGGCACAAGGAGGCGCAACAGACGGCTTGCCGAGGACCAACCAATTAAGGCACCCAACTAAAAATCGTACTAGGTCGCGCACAAGTACATGAAACTTACACTTATGCCGGCGCCGAGGGCCGTAGGTACGAATGTCGGCCGTCCGTCGCCACCTCGGGGGCGGGGGCACTGGCCACGGGTCGCCTCGCGCAACTGACGGAGGCTCACTGGGGGAGGCGCTAGGGCTGAAGGAACTGCGAAGAAAAGCGCCTAAGGAGCATCTAGCAGAACCCGCTAACCCTAAAAAAGACTGAACCCAGGGCACAAAACGAACAACATCCGAAGGAAGCCCACTAGGAAAGCATTGCAACAGGATGTCGGAAGGCCTAGGGTTCGGGACCTTATCGGCATGGCAGGGATGATGCGGGGCACTGGTGTCACAAGGCAAGGGCGAGGCGGCCAAATCGGGACCAGGGGCCCCCAACTCGGAAGCTGCAACCTTCAAGGACGCAGTGCAGGCACTAACCGAAAAAGGCCTGGCTTCAGCAAAAGATTCAAATGAATTAGGCCGCTGCTCCGAGCGACCAGTCCCTAGCTTCGCCCGGGACTGACATGCACGATCCGACTCATAGTTGCGGGCGTCGTCCGAACCCGCCCCGATCACTGGCCTTCTCCGGTCTTTCCTCCCCGACGGCGGTTCGGCCTGCGGTTGGGCTTCTCCTCCGTCGGGACGTCCTCGGTCTCCTTGGGCTGCGGCTGGTCGGTACCACGGGTCGCTCCTGGAGCCATCTTTGTGCCTATGAAGTCCATCTCCTTGAGGTAAGCGATGTTGGCTGATACCCAGCTGGCCGGGCACAACCTGGCGAACGGACGAATCTGAGACCTCCGCCGGGTGAGTAAACCCCAATTGGGCTCCCCCAGGCCCGTCAGCAACCATGCCAGGGACGTGCGCCCGTCCTGCAACGCGGCCTGCTCGCAGAAAAGGAGAGGCCTGGCGCTCCAAGCCTCCAGCTCGGAGCTGGCTGTGATCCTGCTCTGCTCCCACGCCGACGCAGCAAAGTAACTCACCATGGTCAGCAGCCGATGGTCGGCCAGCGGCATCTTCCGCTCGAGGAAGTCGCGCATTAAACCAGGGTGGACGGCGGCCTCTTGTACACCAAGCTCGGCGGCCGCCAAACTCCTGATTGCACTCGCCACTGCAGTGTCGTTGGCCATCAACTTCACGAAGGCCTCCCGAGCCACGGAGCCTCTCGAGCCGAGACTGCCTTCGTCTCTGGCTCCGGACCCCCCGGAGCCCAAGGCTGCACTGATCGGGTCCGCCGGTGTCCGGGGAACCAATCGAGCAAGGAGCTGAGTCTGCATGGCCAGGAGCTGCTGCAAAGTATCGCTGCCCGATGCCCCGAGGTCCTGAGCCACGGTCTCCTCGTCCAAAGCCCCAGCCTGAGCCTCTGCGTAGAGCGTGTCGTCGTCGAGGCGAAACCGTCCTTGCCTGACGCTCGTGAGCAGCCAACCGACCAGGAGGGGCGCCCGCTGTGGCGCGTAGCCGCTTCCAATCGTCCTCGGTGAGGCCCGTGCCGGCCCCATCGTCTCCGGGTGGGAAAAGCTCTTGAGCTCCACGTCGAGGAGGAGGCCCTGCCGGAGACGCTGCAGCAGCAGCCTTGGGAGTAGCGCCACGAACCTGAGACTCGAGGAAGGCCAGCCGATCGCGCAGTCGAGCGAGTTCGTCGGCCGGGGAGCCTGGCTGAGCCCCTTCTTCGCGAGCGGCAGGCGGAGCCGAGCCAGGAGTCGAAGCAGCGTGGCTTTCTGCAGTCAGGTACTCGGCCAGCCCACCATCCGGCTCTCCGTCCTCGGCTGCCTCGTTTATCCAAGCCTCGGCAGCAGAACGAGCAGCAGCAGGGAGTGGCCGGACCACAGCGCCCGAGGAGCCAGTCAGAGGAATCAGCTCCAAAGCCCCGCGGCCCGAAGTGGGGAACAAGCGCATAGCAGGTGAAGGGACGTCCACCAGGAAGATGACAATCGGCCCAGCACTCTTCCGCCGCGGTGTCTCCACCTCCACAGAGGTCTCGACATAAAGCAGAGGATGGTCGTGCACGGCCGGGTCCGACATCTCCGCCAGCTGTCGGTTGGGACAGCTATCATGAACCCATTTGTCCTGCAGCGAACCAGGAATGAGGTAGCTCGCCAGGCTGCAGGCTCGCTCCCGTCGACAAAGTAGATGATGGGCATAGGCTTGCCCGGCGCCATCCCAGTCACGAGCCTACGGATCTCCTCCTCGCTTAAAGTTCGGCCGGCCATGGCCGCTGTGCTGCTGCCACGAAGGCAATCGCCTCGGCCCGGGAAGGAAAGGCGTGGCAGACGGAGCCAGCCTCCAATCGGCCACGGTCGTCCTTGGGGACGAAGTGGCGAAACGATCCCAGCCGCTCCGTGTAGAAGCCCTCAGGTCGCGCCTCGCACCGAAGCACAACGTAGCAGCGATTCCTCAACGGCAGCGAAAGTGAGGCAGTCTGGTAATGGGTCCTGCCTGCAAGCACGAGCCGGGCACCAATGCCAGCCCTCAGAGCCCTGGCGATTCGGGCCTCAGGAGTCCAGGAGCCCACTGTTGCCAATCCGGAAGCCAAGTGCCGATGGGTTCCGAGATCGTGAGCAGCAAGCTCAGCCACAGTAGAAGCTTCCAAAAGGCGGTTCTCGGAGTCGGTGTCGATGGGAAGTCCAGACGAACTAGTCCGAACTTCGGGGGAAACTTCCCCAGCAAGTGGTCCAGTTGAGGTCTGGGCACCTGAAGTCGAAGAGTCGCGTTCGGAAGGCTGTCGCTGATCAACGGCTGCAGGAGGCGCAACGGACTCAGCAGCAGAAGAGCCGACAGAGCCCGGCGTGCGCCGTACAGTGATCTGCAGACCAGAGAACTGCAAAGTAAGTTCCTCCACGGGGTCCCCGGCACTCATTCACCTCGGTACTCCCTCAAGCGCTCCCGTCCACGAGGAGCCACCGACACCACCAGTGGCGCCGCGAATAGCTGAGCCGCCCAAGCCAATCCAAAGCCAAAAGCTCGCCGAACCGCGCCAGAAAGCACCACTGCAGTGGAGCAAATTCCGCAGGCACAGCCGAAGCAGCAAGCACAAAGGCAAAAGAAAGCGATGGCGAAAAAGCTAGGGCTGCAGGAACTAGAGGTGCCAAAGATGCGCACCTCGCGAAGCACCTCGGGCAGGGCGGCCCACATAAGCCGGAAAGATCTGCGAGCGTCTCCTGTGCTTCGGCAGTTCGGGATAGTGAGCATACCCTTAATAGTAGGATCCTTATTATAAGGACCCCCCAAAAAGGTACCCCTAATTTTCGGAAACTCCCATATCCCTTCCCGAACAGTATACTCCCGGCCTCTGCTTTCGAGCTGCCCCGTCAAAGGTACCGTCGTCGGTACCTGAGTCCCCAGGATATGTAGCTCCTTAATTACAGAGCTACGAGGCGCACATAGAGCTACAAACTCAGACTTCAGTGTCAGCTCTCTTCGAGTAGATTCTATATCAATACCACTGAAACACACGCACCCGAACGTTCCCAACCGCCTGCGTACGCTGCCGTGCACGCTTCATCAGTCAAAGTTCAGACATCATTCCTCCTGCTCCAACCCCAAACCCCGCCGGCATCTCGGCATAATCGGGTAAAGCTCTAGGCAAGAGACGGAGCAATGATTCCGAAGGCAGATGGTTCCGGGCCGGCGTGCTGACCTTGCAGAGACAAGGCTTCAGCGAGTCGTCTGCAATTAGATTTGAGACCCTAGCCAATCTAATCTCTCTCTCAGCCACACACCGGGACTGTTTCCACCAGGCTGACTGTCATCCCCCGAGGAGAAATGTCGTCCTAGTCAGCGCAAAGAGGAGCCTAACCAAATAGGGAAACTTCGCACACATATGGCAAAAAAGCCTCGTCGTTGTGGAAACAACCGCCAAAAAGCTGATGCCACCAATTTCTCAGAGGCCGCATCCGTTCGCCACGCGGCTCCTGCATCTTCCGTCGACGTTTAGCTTGGGGCGGGCGGGATTCAACTTTCTAGCAAAAAAAGGTGGTTGCGCTCCTGATGCCTGCGCTGCGCCCATGCCAGGCCGGCCTCGACTCATGAGATCGGATGTTGCGCGGCACTTTGGAATTCTAAGAGTGCTTCACAACTATATGGGAATCTTCCGCCTCCGGCACAAGCGTATGCCTTGAACAGCTCTGCTGTACCAGGCCTGAGCTGCATAGCGCCGCCGCAGCAACATGGTGTCAATCGCCTGCCGAGCATCGCAGGCCGTGTACTGACACCGGAAACCACCGGACGGAGCAGCACGAAGCGTTGATTCAACATGTTGACTTCGTCCTCATATGCCCGAATGACATGGAGAGCCTCTTCGAAATTTCAACCAACCAGGCAGTGATGTCCAAGAACTTACTCCGACAAGCTGGAATGCAGCACGCCCACCATGTAGGCCCAAGGTGTTGGCTCAAGGCTTCGGCATCTTTCATGCTCTTGTGCCTCGTCAAGGAGGGTCGTGGAGATCTCCAGAGAGTCCTGCCAGCTTGAAATACTCACAAAAGACCTAGCACCACGACATGAAAGCTCTTGAGCTCGCGACCTCGCGGGCAGATGCAGTGGCTTCGACAGCTTGTATGTGTATGTGTATACATATATGTACACATATATGTATGTTATACTTATATGTACAGAAAGATACACACACGTACGTACATAAATACATACGTACATACATACATACGTACACACAAACATACATACATATATATATATATATATATATATATGTATATATATATATATACACATATAAACGACATCTACTCTCGGCTCCTCCTGCAGGTCGTCTGTGCACTCCAGCTCTGACTCGGAAATCTCCGGGGTGTCGCACTGAATTGAGCGCAGGTTTCATGTGTGTGTGTATATACTCAGATATTTTTTCTTATGTACTATATTTATATGATATCTTACATCCTTTTGTACAGAAAAGAGTCTTCGCGGGTCGTCCTGTCTGACTTCTACTTGTCTTGTTGGCGTCGAGGAAACTTTTTGCAAGACTAGCTGAGCGCGTCAGTACCATACTTGATCCCCCGAGTTATTCAACTGGCCCGGAGCTGGGCTTCTCTATGTCATCGAGGTTCGAAGTCGCCGCAGTGGTGTGCTTTGGGGCTGAAATCTACGGACAGATGGCATCTAGGAACCCAACGAACAATATACATACATAGAAACATATACATATATATAGATAGATACATATGCAGACATACGTACATGTAAGTATACATATAATCTACATACATATACATATGTATATATATATATACTTACACATACATACATACATACATGCATGCATGCACATATACATACACACATGCATACGTCCATTCATTCATCCATTCATTCACTCACTCACTCACTCAGTCAGTCATTCATTCTTTCATGTATAGATGTGTTTATATATGCAATACGTATCATGGTAAATCCCCGTAGTATGCTTCCCCTTTCGCCTAGCAACACGTAAAGGTGCCTCCTTCACTGCAGAACTGCATAGCCTGGTCAGACTGAACCAAGCCTCCAAACACAATCCCTCGAATGCTGCCTGGTAGTCCATTTTCAACGAGTAGTCTCCGGCCCTGAAACAGGTGCAAAGCTGTACAAGGACCGATTATAGTATGGTCATGGTTGCATTCTGGTCGATGTTTCTCTCTAAATCCATAGTCTGCTTATACAACTCCACTCTTGCTGGGAATCGTGAACTATCTTCCGGCGGCCACCGCGCCTCTCTTTCTGATTGAAGACTCGTCGCAGGGAAAGCCTGGGCACCACCTGAAACGCAAGCCAACCATAACATAATGTAGTATGATTTAGCATACTGAAAAAACCATCTGACATAATACACAGTTGCACAATGAACTGTAATGCAAGATCCCCCTTTACGGTGCGAGTGGCTCCAACTTCCAGCTTGGCTTGTAAAGGCAAAAGTGCTAGTGCCATGATAAGCTTGCCACAAACCGTCCTCAACAAGCTCAGCAGTTGTCATGTGAAATTTATGCAAAGGACTTTGTACGCTCGTGCTGGGCCGGTTGTCAAGCTGTTCGGTTCTAGGCCGGTCACAGTCTCGCCCGGGACTACGGAATCAAGTGGGATAGCACACTTCTTGCAATGATGGATGACCACTAAGATGATTGCGATACACACATCTTTGTTGATAGCATTGATGCCATCTGTGGCAGTTTGCTGTGCACTTGTTTCAGAGCAAAACTCAGGTCATCCAAGGCAAGTCACTGGACGATTCTTGGCCGGGCTCGACGCAGGCCTCAGGTGTGGGCTTTAGGATGTGGGGCTTCGGGTACATCCCACAAAGGAGCCCTTCGAGGAACCCTTAAAGGAGCGCATGCGGGATACAGGATCTAAGGTTTAGGGTCCCAAGCCTCTCCGGCCCTAAAATCTGAGATGATCGCTCCGAGTCCCTTAGTTGCCTCTTCAAACTTCTGTGGGGCCCCCATCTTGACCGCTTGCTCTTGAAAAGCACCGGGCACACCGGAAGCTAGAGTTTCCTTGGGAAGGATGAGCTTCGGCTGCATAAGATTTGATCTAAGCTTTCGACGGCTTTCTTGTTGAGGGCCTTCTGGGGTTCAGCTTAGCAGCAGAGGATCCCTTGGGCGAATCCCCCGTCTACACCTTGCGTCATAGCGATCAGGTCAACCCTGATGAGAAGCTTTGCTTTTAGCCTCGAGTCGCCTGTTGGGGAGAAGCTGGGATTCGCAGAGAGACTTTCAGGCATCAACATCCAGGATGGTGCAAGTGGTGCTGGCATGTCTTAATTCCTGTTCACACGCGAGCCAATCCAAGGATCCTATGGAACAATATTCGGAATTTCAGAAGAGAGTGGGCCGGAAGTCTGTTTTTGCAAGGATCCGTTCATCAGGTTTCCCTGCTCTCGGAAAACACTATCACCCTCAAACCACACAGGAACCTCAAGAGAGCCCTAAACCCTGAAAAACCCTTATCCCTTGCCCTAAACCCTTGTAGAGCCCGTCTAGAACTCGATTGAGAAAAAACCTCAACCCTAATCCCATCATCCTCGACCCATGTTTAGGACCCCAACTGCCCCGGTTCGCTCATTGACCTGCACTTCAGGATTTCTCAGTCAGCTGTTGGGTTTGGGGTTTGGATTGAAGCAGCGCGTTCCGGAGACCGCGTGCAGCGTTCAGGGCTCAGCATTTGTGTTTGGGGGGTCGTGATTAGCGTCTGGTGTTTAGGGTTTTGGGTGGGGGATTGCGGCTTCGGGTTTTGGGCTTGGGGCTTTTGTGGGTGTAGATTTTTGCGTCTTGGAGACTAACTGTGGGAGTTTCAGCTCCTGGGGTCCGGAGATCAGGGAATAGTGATGGTTAGGGAACGCGAGTAACATCAAGGCGAGGATCTCCATATACCAAGTTATGACTGTCCGGAGCAGATCCATCTTGATGGGCCGCAAGCCGTCGCACTTTGTGCGGATAACAACGGTAACAGTGATACCATTGATGCTGACGATTTACAGGGTGGCTCCGGAGAACAAACGGACGCATGACAAGTCAGCAAGGAGATGTCGATTCTTCCGAGCAAAATTGTTCCAAGACCACTGCCTTGACCATGCCGAGGAAACGGCCTGAAACAGAAATGCCCATGAGTGCTTTGCTACAGCACGGAAAGAGCTACGGTTGTGGCGGTATTGATGATACTGGTGATGCCAAGTTGTAACAAGGCTCATGTGCAGGATATAAACAGCCATGGAATGCAATCGTCATAACGACCGTGATGAATCACTGATCACCATGGTTGCCAGCATGTTGTGTAATCTGCACTTTTTTAGTTTGCTAGTGACAAAAATTGAGATGCGTATGTGGTACACTGCACAGATACGTTGCGCACCGTCCTTTGCTAGGTTCGAGG